GTACCCCCCTCCCGTTCCTTTCCCCCCACCCAGGGGACCCCACCCCGCCCCTCAAGGTGTTTGGATATATGCAATGGCCCTTCACCCAAAGAATGTGCATATTCCACCCACTGTGTCTTTGTTCCCCCCCCCCCCCCCTCATCCCCTCCCCCACCCCACCTGCAGGCCTCCCCCGCCCCACCCACGGGCCATCCCCACCCCAACCCACCGCCCAACCCCGTCACATTGGGATACAGGGGAAAAGGGACAGAAAAAAAGAGACACACACACATTTCATCAAACGGGATCCCTTTAATCAAACGGGATCCCTTTAATCTTCGTAACCGTCTTCCACTGAGCTATATATATCTCATGCACGTTGCACGTGTTTATATCACGTGATTACTTCACTATCATTCGCAATTTTGGGCAGTTCTAGCGAGCAATTTTTATGCATATTGCTCGCGACCATCGCCGTATCAGACCGACCACCCACATGTGCCACGCCATATGAAAGCTGAAAACCTGTTCTATATGGAACTAATTCAGGTTTTCCCCAACCAAATTCGAGAAGAAAGAAATTTAGGATTAAAAAGATGGACTCCGTCGAAAAATAAGAAGTTTTGGTTCCTAAAAAAAACACGCTAAAAAATGTTTGAACTGTCAAAACTCAGGCAATAGTTCATTGATTTTGACGCTTTCTTCGGCAAAAGAAAGCAGATATCATGAGCTTTTCTACTGTAAATTTCTGGCATGTTCACTCTCAGATGCATAATGATTTCATTCATAAAACTGAAGTGAGTCGGGCTGAAATTGATGGCATGAGCGCAAGCACGAACTCAACGTTGACGTCATAATGAGGGGCGTGTTGACCCCAATTTGCATAGGTGAATTTTCGCGATAAGTTTGTATGTGCGGGGGGTACGTACTTGCACTTGTACGCATGCGCGTACTATCAATCCGCTCGCGTAATTTTTATTCCTAGGAGGGTTAGGGGCAATGTCATGAATAATTCATGTTTATCAATGAGAACGGACAATGACATCAACAGCATTGTTGTTAGTTACTCAACTAGTGACAATACATTAAAGCATTTTAAAGAACGGTTGGCGTCGAGCTACCACACAGTAGCCTAGTGGATAGCGAGATGAGCTATGGATACAGAGATCCCTGGTTCGAAGCCACGTCGTCGCTGCTCTTTTCATCAGCTATTTTTCTTCTCCAAATTTATCACTGAGATAATTTTAAATTAAGGGGAAAATAGAACGAGAACCTAAGTCTTGCAATGATTCAAAGGAAAAACTGAATTATTCATGACATTGCCCCTAACTCTCCTAGGAAAAAAAATTACGCAATCCGCTCCTACACCATACCCCCCGCGGCGCGCTCCGAGCGATCGAACCCGAAAATGACTGCGATATATCAGCGCGCGTGCTCGCTTCAAGTGTTAGGTTGGCTCAGTGCGGAAAGGGCATATTTTTCATCATTTTGGCCTTAAAACAGACAGAATCCACCGATGTTTGTTGGGTGCACATAACGTGAGTATGTCATGAGGTATTGTACGGAGTTTAGGGGCAAACTGTGCAGCGGTTCTGTGGGAAATAGCTTATTTGGAATGGACGTTTTTGTACTTAATTAGTGTTTTGTGTTGACAACAATTTTGCGGGCTTCTGACTCTATGAGGCTCCACTACGTGGAGCCTCATAGTTCTAGGAGTACAGTCAATTGACCGGTTCCGCAATTTGACCAGTTCCGCAATTTCGGAAAACTAGCTCTCGTTTTCAGGAAGACGAAAACGCCAAGGACTTAAACTTTGGTATCGATGGAAAGGTTATTCAATCTACTTTTCAAAAATGGTTTTAGTTTTAGGATACTCACTTACATTTAAAAATAAATCCCCTACGACCGTCACTTGCCGTTAACGAACTGCCGAAATGGAACGCGCACGGAAGCGTGATTTCATGTTTGTCGGCCTGCTACACGATTGTTCAGGGGAATTAAATCATGGCGATTGATGCAACTTGTTCGGAAATTATTCATTATTCCACCATACAAATATAAGATTTGAAGTCTTTGAATTTTTTTTTCTATACCCACCAGAGTAACTGCTGGTCGTTTGGCCGGTTCCGCAAACGCATTCATACTGCCTATACAATACACTGGCCATGGTGTATTAACCAGTGCTGCTATTGACAAGTATTGTTGATGACGGCCCCCTAGCGCGGTGCACTTTATTTATTTTGGCATGAATCTTTCTTTTTTTACAACTTACAAAGAATTGAGAATTTCTATTTATTTTTAATCCTTGTTTTAAAAATGTCGAATTTGATGATCATTTCTGGGTGTTCAGTGCAAAAAATTGAAAACTAAATTGAAACAAAATGATTTTGTTTCTGTCCAGCTTCCGGACAGCACTGTAGGTTTTGGATAAAAAAAATTTGGACTTCAAAATTTAAAATACAAAAATCTTTCTCAATACTTCCCACTAAACGCTTTTCCTTTGCTCTAAAAAAATTCACCCCATACTTGATGTTGAAGCAGTTGTGCCTCAGGGGTTTGAATTCATTTTAGAGTTACAACTCTCCACATCCAGGGTGCATGAGTCAGCCCAGGCTAGGAGGTGAGGTTTGTGGGGACCAATTAAGAATAGTGCATAATAATATGTTTCTAACCCAAAGGACATTTCCAGTAATTTAGTAAATTTAAAATTATCCTTTTTCGGTGGGTTCTAACCTTACTCTTTACCCTTTTAAACATAAAGAAAAAAAGGTCCACTCATATTTCATAATGAAGACCAGTCTCTCGTCAGTACAGAGACACAAATTTTGATTGTTTTCTTGGAGCACAAAATTTGTCAAATACTATAAACCATTTCTCATTTTTGTCTCAATCGGTCATAAACTAAACGTTTTATATAAAATTTCTTTTTCATACAGACAATGCCAAAGACAAAGAAGAAGATTACGCCAGCCTCCTGATAGGCCATAAGAGGCCATCGGCACATCTTTTTCAGTTTTACCTGTGAAGGTCAAGAAGAAGTTGAATATTATAGTGAAAGTACATGTAGCTGTGTGTCTTCATCACCATTTCTTTGAATTTTATTTATGTGACAAGTTTTTTTGTATAGTGCTAGCTTCTGGAGTGCTTAAATTATTTGTGTATAACAATTAAACAGACATGCAGGTGTCATAAAGGCAATAAATTTAAAGGCGTTACATACATTTTTATTTACCAGTACATGTGAAAGAGAAGTGAGGTGTTTGAAAAACTATGCTACTTTGCATGAAAAACTCACAGGACATGTCTATTTCTGTGATTCATCACCATTTATTTATATGACACGTATATTTTTGGATTTAAAAGGGGTAGCTTCTTGAGTGCTTTAGTTTTGTATTACATTTACACATGCAGGTATCACATGTCAATATATTGAAAGGGTTATCGGGATATACGTGATGAATGTGTTGACATTTTCTTTTAAGAGCATCATCGAACAGTAGATGAGGTTTGCTAATACAGTTGCCCAAGCATGATACATGTACATAGTTAATATGTGCAACAACGTACGAGGAGTAACTGAACATTATAATTAGAAATTGCCATTGCTATGAAACAGCCATAGGATTTATGACATTTTTAACAATTTGTTTTAATTTGTTTGTGAAATTTAATTTGAATGTGAAACAATATGTGCATGTATGTGGCCTGTATGTATCTGGCCTGCTGAGGCCTGTTCCCCCTCCCCTCCCGGCCCCCAGGTTCCCCCTACTGGATGTTGGTGCACACAAAATTAAGCATATTGTGTTGTTACCCTGAACATATTGAAACACTTCCCCCCCCCCCACAAAAAAAAGTAACATGAAAAAAAGGAGGAGGGAATAAACAAAAGTAAATAAATAATAATAATTAAATAAAAAAATAATATTAATAAACAGTGCTCCCCTGCAGACAATGATTCAGTTCCAATTCATCCAGCCATGCAGTAACTTCCTTAAGTGTCATAGGAATTAAAAATGATCCTGGAGAAAATATTAATTCAAATTCATAAATTATCTGGTCTGTGCTTATGTGAGAAAAAAACAACCAACTGGAGCAATTCGGTACATGGTTTGTGTCTGGTTCTATTCAACGTCAGAGTGTGTCTAAATAAAAATAAGACAACAAAAAAGCAAAATATTAGTGATTGCAAGATGATAGACAGAATGCACAAAAAGCAAGAAAGTCATTTAATTGGATTGAAGCAAGTCAAATAATTATAACGTAAAAAAAATCCAACGAACCATAACATTTTCATGGAGTTACACTTTGTAAATTTGGACGCATTATAATGTGCAGACCTTGGCTCATGCACAGGGAAATATAATCCACATCTTTTCTTGGCTGGTTTGGGGGCAAAAACGATCTAGATTTGGCCAGTGAACAAGGAATATTTTCAGTCCAGTATCGCAGAGGGCGCCGTTTGCGAAACCGGAAAACATTTGCGGAACCGGTCAAAGCACCGACCTCTACAAAACGTCCTGGCAAATTTCTCTTTCAAACGATCACAGAAAACTATTCATATCATGAAGTAGGTGAGTAATTTGCGCATATTTATAGATAGGTAGCTTCCTGTGAAAGCGCGTTTTTTCGCCACAAGACGCTTCAGACGATTTGCGATTGCGGAACCGGTCAAACGACTGTACAATCAACCGTGACTCCGTAGCCAGCTACGAGGTGGATAGATTGAGTGGCGGAATCCCCGAGTGGCGGGGTATTCTGCAAGTGGCAAGTGTGCCCGCCTGACATCTGTTTCTTGCTCTAAGACTATGCTCTATCCTCCAAGCTGCTCAAGTGCAACGTGGCCTTTGCACGATCATTCGTTTCACTGTACTAGCCCCGGCCTACTGAAATTTTCAGTACACTTCCGGTTCTGACTCTGAGTTTCAAACTGTGAACAAATGGGGGTGTAGGCATTAAGGCCATAAATGTGTAAAACAAGAAAATAATTCCTCGTGTTTATTTTGATGTAGTCTACAACTTACTTGCTCGATGCGCTGTTTACTTGACGCGAAGATTTAACTTTTTAGGCATGCTCCATACAGCTCTATGGCTCCAAATGATATCAAAATACGTGTACACGTCCGTCCTCGAGTCGACTAATCGTTCGATGTGGTTTGACCTCACGTTATTTACAGTATTGGAATGTTTCATTTTCTAAGAGGAATTCGTAAATGTACTTGTGAATTAAACTATTTCACATTTGAAACTTTAAAATATACATAATTATTTATCTAATTTCATATCATTCTAAATTACACATGATCAAAATTATTCTCATTTTCTCAATATTTCTGCATAAAATGGAAATACGCATTAAAAAACCCGATTACACACACCCCTTAATACATATGGTAGAATCCGATCACCTCGACCTAGTAGATTGTATTGACCTCATCATTTCGCGCCACTTTCATAATTCGAGGTGCTGTAGAAATGGCTCCAATTTCAGACGATCCAGACAATGTTTCTCAAGATGATGGTGAGGTTTTGCAACATGAATAGATACTTTGTAGCCAAAAATACTTAAGAATGTAAAAATATGGGTTTGTTGATTGCATTGCTTGTAAATGTTCTTGCCTCGTACTCGTAGTCGTAAAGTCTGAATTGCACTGCATGCGCTTGCACCCCTCTCTAGTGATGCAGTGCTAGCTCTACTGAGTGGAGCGTTGAATTACGGGTTTGTATGGAGGGGTACCCGTAATTCAACGCTCCACTCAGTAGAGCTAATGCAGTGCATTGCTTCTACTCCTAGCATAGATTAAGAACCCCGCAAAAAAACGACAAAATCCAGCGATGTTTGTTCTGCGCATATTACGTGAGTATGGCATGAGATGTAGTACGGAGTTTGGGGGCAAACTGTGCTGCGGTTCTGTGGGGAATGTCTGCATTTTGATGGACGTTTTTGTACTTAATTAGTGTTTTGTGCTGACAACAATTTTGCGGGGTTCTTAATCTATATGAGGATGTTTGTTTTCCATGCCTAGCCTTTTAAAAAAATATTTTCCCCCTGATTTTAACAGTACTAGTAGCAGTAGCCCCATAAATGTGGCCTATTTACTGGACTGCCTCTGTAAACATAGGCCACACATCCACATGTACAAAAATCGTGTCGACGGAGCCAAATTTTGATTTTCACATTTAGGCTTAGTTTGTAGGTTTTTTTTGCTTTAGAAGCATACTCATCCTCTTTACAGGCTAATCAGAAAGTGCTGCCTTTTTCAGATGTATATTTTTCGAGAAATTTCCAGATTCATTTTTACACGTTTGCGTATCAAAATTTCAACATGAAATTTCACAAAAATTAGACATCTGAAAAAGGCAGCACTTTCTGATTAGCCTGTAAAGAGGGTGATTATGCTTCTAAAGCAAAAAAACCCTACAAACTAAGCCTAAATGTGAAAATCAAAATTTGGCTCCGTCGACAAGATTTTTGTACATGTGGATGTGTGGCCTATGTTTACGGAGGCAGTCCAGTAAATAGGCCACATTTATGGGGCTATAGTAGCAGGTGTAAGGCATGAAGAGCAACTGTTCAATTTTGTCACAAACAAGAGGTCAAAAGTGTAATGACTGCATTTTTTTACTTAATTATAAAAAAATTGGATAATTAAAGTGAAAAAGACAAGAATATTCTTTAATGATGAATTCCAATTTTACCTGTTTTTGTTAAAATTAAAGAAAACAATTCAGGCATTTGCTTTGCCACTTGTTTAACATGTCAAGGTCATTCTTGAGAGCGTCTGAATCAGGTGACTCCAACTGCAAAAGACAACTCAAAGTGGCATGTTTATCAACATATTGCAAGTGATGATTAGAAAAGTTACAACAATTGATATTGCTTCAGAGCTTGCAAAGACACTTGGAATATTTGAGTTACCCTTAAATATTCAATCGCAACTTGTAACTTGAGTTTTATTCCATATTCACTATTAATATACATTTACTATCGGAGGCCATGTTTCAGCTTTTTTTGGTTTCATCTGGTTTGTTTTTACAGCCTCAAGCAGTTTGGCACAGAGACGAAGCAAACGGGCCGTCAGCAACAAGAAGAACAGTCGACTTGCTGCACTGGAACGACTGAAGGAAACAAAGAGAGGATCAGGATCCAAATTCAAGTATGAGGTATGATTCAGTTTAATGTCTGGTAGGCAAGTATTTACATATTGTAAAGTATTGGATGGAAATGTAATTTCACATGGTTATACATACTGGCTTTTTCAAAAACTGCTCCTAATTTTTCATATTTGGTTATTCCGCATTTTCTTTGCAATTGATTACACTCCTGTGAAGGGTACAAGCCTGCTAGACTGATTCTCTGACCTTACAATTCCCCAAAGTCTATAAATTGCTCCGTTTTTTCTGAGGGTGGGGGCTGGGAACCAGACTACAATAGCATGATTGGTTTACATGATCTACAAGCCGAAAATTGCAGCAAAAACAAATGTTGTACATTCCCTTTAATTAAAGAGTATAGGTAGGCTCCCAATTTGAAGAAGAAAACGGATGGTGGCAATTACATAGCTGGCAGAAATTTTAGGTTTGTAACTTGCCATATGAGACTAGAAACTGGAGATTTAAGAAGGCCCCCAGACAACAAATAAATGTTCTTCTCAAGTATGAGATTTCGGATATTAAAGTCAAGGCACATTGAAAAAGAAATACACCCACGCAAGTATCAGGCGAAAGAAATACTTTTATTCGCAGGACAGGAAAAATTACCTTGTTGATGATAATTCTTGATTTTCTTAGTATTTACATCTGAAGGAGATTTTGCATTAAAAATTCCCAATTTGGTCTCAAGGGGATGCCAAGATCTGGACCTGATTTTAATGCTAGATGCAAAACTATTGCAAACAATTGTATGTTCAAAGCAAAATACACCACTTGTATAAACCCTTTGCAACCAATACTGTACATGCATGCTTTAGGGCCTACATTCTGGAGGTAACCAGCAAGCAAAACAAGTTTTCGCGTCCCATGAAATTGGCCTAGATGCATAAGTCATGACCAGAAAAATATTCAATTTGTTGTTGCCATGGAATGCAACATTTTACGGTGTTGGCCAGGGGCATTGTCTACGTTTTAGAATTCCAATTAACTGATAAATGTTTAAATGATATTTTTAAGTCTGCTTTGTTTAATTAATAAGAAAAGTGTAGTCATCTTTCAGTGGTCGTAAGCAGGTCATTCTGCAGTTATCAGGGTTGTAGTCAGGTCCTCACTCGCCAATCATAAGTCATGCAGTGTCAAGTCAATTAGACAAATCATTCCAATGTGAAAAAGGCTTTGCGTTGTCATTGACTCCAAGCACAAGTCCCCCCTCAACAGAAAGAAAGGGCGAGTTGGGGAGACCACTAGGAGGGACATGCGAACACATTGCCAACAACGCCTGATGCTCATGCAAAGACGCTTTGGCTTTGTGCACTTTCAAAATAAAATAAGTTGTATTTACATTGCGCTAAACGGGCGCGAACCAGTGCGAAAAAGGTATAAAAGCGCCCTCTTGGGTTTGCTCACAGAGCCCATTGCTCATTTATTGCAGCAATCCAGTGTGTGTCATTCACAGTTACTCAATTCATGCCATGTCTTCATTGCCAATATGGGTTTTCTTATTTCTGTGTTGTCTAAATTGGTTCTCAATTTCCATCTTTTCAGCTGGAGGACATGCAGAATGTCTATGATGAGGTCGATGAGGACGAATATTCCAAAGTTGTCCGAGATCGTCAAGACGACGATTGGATTGTGGATGATGGTAACAATTGTCATTGATCCAACATTGAAAAGACTACAGATAATCTTAAATGCATTGGTAAAATTACTCACGAAGCAGAGGCCTAAAATATGTTGAAGGGAAAGTTTTGAGTAATATTTATTTACTTATGCAATAGCCTTCCCTGAACCATGCATTCACCGTGAAAATTTGCAAACAAAATTAAATTTTGATGTAAGATTTGACAGATTTTTGACCTTAAGTTTGACCAAGACAAAAATGTATACTTGGACTTTTGGAAGCCTACATGTATGTCAACTTACAGAAGATTGTAGAAGGGCTTCCCATGAGTTGTATTGCTTTGAATATTTGCCATCTATGTAGTAATATATCCATTTTTATGGGTTTTGTCTTGTGTAATAGATGGTGCAGGCTACGTGGAAGATGGAAGGGAAATATTTGATGATGACCTGTATGGAGATGATGAGAAAGCAGCTGGAAAAGGTATGCCTAATGATCCTAGTAGAATGGCATCAAATTGTTGGGGGGGGGGGGCAAATTGCTGATTTCAAACTTTCTATTGCCACATTTGGTCAAAATTTGTGAGCAAGGTATATTTTGAAAATAAAAATGTCTTTCTGGGGGAGTTTATTTGGTGTGTGTTATTGGTTAATTAAACAAACAAATAAACAGGTTAATTAAAGGTATCCTGAAGTGAATAAAGTAAGTTAAAGAAAAAAAAACTTACCTACCTGGATAATTTTTAGACCATTACAGACAATTTGTTTTCTTGGCCTTGAAATGTACCCATTGTTACAGTGAATCAAATTGCACTGATCAGAAAAGTTTCGTTTTATTTCAATTTTTTTTATTGGGTTCATATAATTCACCATTTCTTCTTTTAACAATCCTTACAGCTTCATTTTTGTGACCTTGAGAAGGGGTTTGGGGGCAGTCAAATGAGATGAGGAGACCAGGACATTTTGATTGGATGAAAATAATTGTGCAATAAATTGAATCCCTCCGTCATGTAGATGTAAACGATGGGTATTTGTTGATTTTAATTGTCTTGGAATTTGTGTGTTCAACTTTAAATGAACATTTGTAAGTCTCTTTAATATTTAACAATGTGAAAAAGAGCTGACATGTTGATTGTATTAACATTGACATTTAAAACATTTAGAAACAATATGAAAATGTATTGGTGTGTCACGTTTTTCTCTCTCTCTTTTCTAAACAGGGAAGAAAGGAAAAGAATCCACCGCTCCGAAAGATTCAAAGAAACTGGTAAGACTTTAAATACGTTCAAAAATATTCAAAATTTAGATGTTTATTTTAACTTGTAACATAATCTTTTAATGGTTTTAGAGTGCAGTGGGTCATATTATACACATTTGATGTTTGGTCATTACATGCACTGAATTATGTACCTCTTTATAAAACTTTGAATCAAATAACAGAGGACAGCAAATTATTATATTTCACTACATTTAATAAGTGGATTCATCCAATATCTTCGTAGATGGTACACTGTAAATCTAAGTTGGTGGTTTTTAAGTTTCATGCGTCCAGCACATCAAATGAACCACAATGGGAGACTGGCCTAGGAACATTTTATCAATATTGTAATGAATGGAGTGCTATTTGAAAGTGTGTACTGACGCTTCACGAACTGAGCTGTCGACGTCTGACTTTATGTCGGTTTCCCTTATTCAAGGGCCACTTTCCAGAAATCATTAACTCATATCAATGCCCAATAACCAGTTATCAGTTATCAACTTTTATAATGAACTATTTAAAGACAACAGCTGTATCCTCTCTTGAGTACCAATTGGTTGCAACTTCCCGGGTTTGTGTCTTGGGCTCTTGGCCACATGACACCTGCAGGGCTATGACATCTGCCTAGCGGCTGTGGAATTAAAGACATTGACAAATTGAGAGAACACGAACAGTCAGCTCAGTTGGTAGACAACCAGTATGATGGTGTGGAAGTTGCAGGTTCAAATCCTGACCCAAGCTTAATACTTTCACCTATGACAAACCCTAGCCAATTGTAGAACAAACACATTCTTGATCATTTTTCAGTCATGTATGCTATTCCAAACTATTTTCTGTCTTAAGAATGTGAAGAAGCCTTCAGTGTCCAAGTCACATGACATTAAGTCTATGTTCAAGATGGGTGCCTCCAAGCAGCGTAAGCCTGAGAAGGAGGTTAGCCTTGCTGATGATGAACTACTTGGAGACATTCTCACTGATCTTCATAATGATGTGAGTACATTGACCCCCAGAGCCATGCTGTACCTAATAGGAGCAATGGACATAATGATGTCACGTTTTGTTTACATGTGTGCTTTCCTATGAGAGAGCACCCCACCTAGGTGGGGCACGTTCTCATAGGAAAGCGCACATGTAAACAAAGCGCAAGGTCATGAGGTCTTTTTGTGAATTGTGTGACTTTCGACACTTTTTCCTGGCAGGTAGTATACACAAATCTGGAAACATGGTCACAGCACAGTCACATGTGGCGGTGGTTATGGTTAAAACATTTGTTCAAACATGTGGTTACTGTAAAGTGAGTATTGACCCAACTTAATTTGCATTTCAGAAGCAAGATGTGTTCAAGCCCTTACCAATCAAGAGAAAAGTGAGAACGTCAGGTTCAGGGTAAGTAGACGTGCTGTTATTTGATTGTAAATACAATATTGATCACATGCAATAAAAGCATAGTCTCTGTCTTCATTTATCCAGGACAAACAGACTCATTATTAACAAAAAGTGGAATTAGTGTTAAGATTTAACACTACCAAAAAGTCTGAAATTATTCCATCTTTCTTAATGCCATTGTCAAAATTAAATAATAAAACAAAACAATAAGAACATCAACAAATTATTATTGTGAGTGAATGTTGGAGATTGCATATCAGCAGCAGATATTGTCCTCAACCAACACAATGACCAAAAACATTTTTGAGAACTCACAAAAAATAGCTTTCATTTATTTTAACTTGTCAAAAAGTGTTAATATTAACATAATTAATAATTAACAAAATTCATTACAAAATCTGAACATTTTCACAATGTTTTTTGATGTACTTATTTAACCCATATTTTACTGCAGAAATGTTTTATTTTTAACTGTCAAGTAATTTGTTGTCCCATTTGGCAGGCCATCACCATCCACCAATCGTAACCCCTTTTCCAAAACACCCACCCGACCACACCCAAGTACATCACAACCTAGAAGCGTGGACTATGACATGTCCTCACCAGCCATCATACCTAAACAGCGCCCCCAAGGCCGTCAGACCATCGTCAAACGTGAAATGGATCCGGAGACTGAGGAACCAGCCAAGAGGCACAAAAGGTCAGAGGTCGTCATCAAGGAGGAGCCCAAAGATGAGATTGAGGAGTTTTCAGAAATGAGTGAAGATCAAGGCCATGGATTTGGTAAGTAGGTTAAACCTCTTGTGTGAGTGAAGTTGGTATTTTGAGTCTTCAACTCTTTTTAGTACAGAAACTCCTTTTACCCTAACCCTGCCAGACGCAACACAGTGCATCAGGTGGAAGAGTCTGGTGTACTTTTGATGCACTCAGCTACCAACTCCAGTGCATAAATGGCCAATTCTGAGACATAGACAGCTAGTCCCATTGAACTACATGTATGCCACAGTTGTATCCTGCTGCATTCGGTGACCACAGACCTGAGGCAGTTTGGCCTTGACACTTTTGAGCTGATGGATCTTGCTACACTGGGCAGGCATTTGGCAGGGTTTCTAGCCAAGGGTTAGGGTTAAGGGCATTATATGGATTCCATGCCAAAAAAAAACCGCCTTACTCGGTTGCAAAGACAACACAGGCTATCACACAAGGACAACACGGGTGTGTGCACATTCTGAATAGAATGATTTGTCAGAATGGAATGTATTAAGCATTCTTCTTACATCAAAATGCATTTTGTCCCTCCCATGGAGCTCTTGATGAGTGGTCATGAAGCACCATTGAGTACAGAGTCCATGGCACAATAAACGTACAATGTAAGAGTACCATGTACACTTTACACTTTATGAGTATATTTCTAAAGCGTGATGTAAGCCATTTTGTTTCTTTTTAGAATCCCACTCTCCCCTGGCTGCGCAAAGTCAATTTTGATGGCTGTCAAATAGTTAAAGGGAATGTACATCATTGGCTTTTGCTGTTGTTTTTAAAAATGAACTATTTGAGGGGTTGGTATATAATATATCAAATATTGTTACACTGACATGTTTGAAGTTTTGTGTTCGAAAATGCTGGAAAAACCAAGAAAAACAAAAACATTCAAGTAGTCTGGTTCCCTGACTCCACTAAAGATGAAATGGATCAATTTATAGATGCCGGAAAATTGTTAGGTCAGGGAACCAGTCTAGCTGGCCTGCACCCGTTCATGAACATGTAACCAATAGCAAACAAAATTTTGACTGAACAAAATGGTAAATTTGGAGCAGTAGTTGAAAAATAGTAAGGTTTTTCCAACGGTGGTCGGCCGACCACCGTTGGAAATTTATACAAAAATACCATTTTCTTGAAAATGACTTCACACCAAGTGCCATAATTTTACAGGATGCTTTAGACTGTCATTAACTTTTTTTCAAATGGATAAATCACGTTTTGGAAATAATCTCTTTAGGCGTTTTTTTTTAATTACTTGGATTACGGAATCGCCGCCGGAAAAAATCGGAATTTTGAAAAAAATTAAAAAAATCGCCGCCGGAAATTGTCGATTCTGACTACCCCCCCAAAAAAAAAAAAAAAAAAAAATGTGCCTATCGTACAAAAAACTCTATATTGCGCGCTGTCCAGGCCTGTAAACCATAGTATTAGTACTGGTTTGATCGAACGACATCAGTGTTCTCCAACTTTGTAGAACAAACCTGGCGCCCCGCCATGCTTTCTGCGGCGCCCGCCATGTTTAAGAAGTCCCCGCCAAGCTTTAAAATCCTGCCGCCAGGTTTAATTTTTTTGACTCTACAGTGTACATTTACAACTAAAATAATTGATTTCAGTTGTTTTTCCACACATTAACAATGTGTTTCGATGTCATCCCAGCCCGATCGGGGTTGTCTTAAAATCTCGCTGAATCAATCACACGCACGGTACGGCCGGCCGTGCGAACACCAGCGATTCCCCATGCACTGTACGTACTATATACTATTAGGTATGCGCGATGTACAAGTACACACTGACAACTGAATCCCCAGTTCCGGAGTGTGCCGATACTTCAAGTAGCGACAACCCCGCCGCAAAAATATATATCTGTATTAGTACACACACACACCAGCAGGAGTACGTACGGCAGATCTTACGTGCAGCCAACCGACTTTCTTTTTCTCAGTGCTTCCACGCGCGGTACACTATATATTACGCATTGATGTTTTTGTACGAGGAAAACGAGCTCGAGGCCAAAACACGCGTGCACCTGGTGTCCGGACGATCATGCCGATTGTCAAAAGTTATAAATGGCGATCGTGTATGGGCCCGGTTCTCAAAGAGAACAAAATACACTTTTAATTTATTTGACTTACCAAACTAGTTGTCGACATTTAAGAACATACAGGTAGGTCATAAATAGAGGGAAATTTGGGGGGAAAATGACGATGACAACGTCAAAACGCAACATGAAAATAAAGATGACGATCGCACGGCACCGGCACCACCCATAAAATCGCGTTAAAAAAAACGTAATTTGTATCCCATTTTGTTTTTCACAATTACAAAAAGGTGTCATTTGATCTGAGAGAAGTCTGCTTTAGGTTGAAAAGGAGATTTTTGAATGCTAAAAAAATCGGGGGAACTGGCCTGGTCACTCCATGGTCACTATTTCTTTGAAACCGTGGTTTTGAAAATGCAGTGACTGTTCATTCTCGTGCCCGTTTTTGTTTCTTCATGTCTCTATGGGCGCCGCCATGTTGGATGATAGGGCGCCCCCATTTTTTTTTTTTTTTTTTTTTTTTTTTCATTTCCCGCTCGCCGCCGGAAATGGGGACCCAAAAATTCCGTAATCCAAGTAATTAAAAAAAAACGGCCTTACTTGAGGGACTTGTGCGTACATGTATTCAAGGGCTGTGAACTGTGTGTTTGTTGCACTAGTTGGTGGTGTATAGTGTATAGACTAATCCAGGCAGGCTGTCAAATCTATCACAGAGTCCCCCTTCAGTCGCGACAGCGTTGTTCAGATAGTCCATCACGGGGCAGTTGCTTTGTACAGTACAATAGCGTGCACAATGCTTTCTCCATTGAAGGGGGCCTCGTGAGGGTACAGTTATATGTGTCCGGCTGTCTATAGCAGCATGTTTCTTTAATATTCAACAGCAAGCAGAGGGATGTGAACCCAAGTGTTCCTTTGAAATTTCCACTAGCATACAAAGCAGTGAGAATATATTACGTAGATGTGGCCACTATTTTATCATATTGTAGAAAACATGGATTTTGACAACAATGAAATTGACAACTTCGACTCGGAGGATATTTCCCAAGCAACAGTGAAGGAGGAGTTAAACACAAGTCAAGAGCCAGAGGTTAATGACAAAGGAAGAGCACAGAAACCAAAGTAAGTTCCTCCAAAACATTAACCATGAAATATTCACAAGATGGAATTCGTGTCAGGGTGATGTAAATTCAATTGGGATTTTGCCCTTCATCGACGTAGGGCAAAACCCAAAGCATAAACTAAAATGTTGCATCTTACTGTCAAAGACAAATTCTGTATCAAATAAAGCCAACTTTTAATACGAATCCTATATCAGCTGAGCTTTGATTCATACGCAAAAACAAAACTCAAATCAGCTCGATCATGTTGACATGATCACAAATGAGAACCAAAATGGATACTAATTCCAAGCAATTTTCATCACTTTGCAAGTGTGCATCCTGACGTCTGCTCCAGCTCAGGCTGGGAAACAATCAGAGAAGAAGCCGAGGACAAGGATGAGGTTGCCGCGGATATCCAAGTTGATTGCTCTTCGTTGCCCATGACAACCAATGACTCCGGTGACCAAGTGCTGCGATTCTTTTGGATGGATGCCTACGAGGATCCGTACCATCAACCAGGTAGGTTTAGTGGATAATGTAAAGTTCCTTATTGAATTTTCCCTTCATCCAATATTTGACTTAAGTTTGATCAATTTTTCAGGTGAAAAAAATTAACTTGCACCTTATTGATATATTATTTCTAAGGTTATTTGCTAGATTAAATTCACACAGTCAACTGTGGGCCAAGTTCGCGCAAGGACTATAGTTGACCAATGGTTAACTAACGTTTGCCCGAACTCTGTCTAGTCAACGGTGGTTGACTACGCTAGTCGACTATTTGGAACCAGCCTACTGGGGTTGGTTGCTTCGCTGGTAACCAATAGCCGCGCGCATTCATAACGCTAGCAGAGAGCCAGGATCCAGAAGTTTTGCGATGACATTTTGACCAGCATTTGACTAGAGACGTTCGCACGTTGCTATCAGTGCGCAGGCGTAAGGTACGTCACAAATCGACCACTAGTCGACTAATGGTCCTTGCCCGAACTGGGCCATACATGCAGTCTTAAAGTGTGGGCAACTCGAGGTAATTGCCTCATGATCATGATGCAAACCAGATCACAAGTATTTGAATTTTCTAGTTGAAGATTGGGTGCTGTCATTGATTGGGCTATATTGCCCTAAACAACATGTCCCTGAAAGAACCACATGTGAAAGATCTTGAACAACGCAGATCACCGACACCATTAGCCATAGTTTCACCTGCAATGTTGGATACACATCAGCTATCTAATCCAATAAACCCGAGGTACTCTTGTGTCACGCTGCGCATCACGATGCCTGCCGAACAATATGATACGTAGACATCCTGCTCAAACTCAGCAACATTCAACAGATGCGAAAGTACAATCATTTTTGCTGAGGGTATTACAATCTACATATGTATCAGGTCAACTACATGAAGGCCCGGAAGCCTACATGTTTAAACCTTCTAGCCACCATAGGATCCAAAAGTGACACTGTTCTGTTGGATTATGCTGCTCCCGTTTACTGGTCATTAGTGCCCAATCCAACCATTTCCCTCAGCTGCTGTACCTTGTTGCGTTACCAGAGTTGTGGTTAGTTTCCTTGGAAAAAAGTGATGTAAGAGGTGACTGAGAGATTCCCTGCGAGATATCAAGGATTAAAAGGCGGCTAGATGTTAAATAAAAAAACTTGAAATGGTCAATGCAGTGAAGTCAAGGCAAGGAGGAAGTACATTGTTCACTTACATTGTTTCCACAAACAGAACCTGGTCAACCTGCCAGTGATGATGAGTTGTCAGTAGAATCAATGCCATGCGATGTCCAACTCACTGCCAGTGGATTGGAACTGAACAGACCTACAGATACATCACCCACCTCATCCAAACAACATTCACCATCATCCCTGAACAGTTTGTCTGCCAGTCAGAAATCCCACCATGCAAAGAATGAACCAAGGATTCTCTCAGGTTTTAAGGAGCAGAAACCTCTGGATTTAGATCAGATTTTTAAAGGTATGAAACAGATCATCGTTGATAACATCCAAGAGATGCAGAACCAGACGAGAAGAAATGATGCTGCACAAAGGGCATTTATGGAAGAGATGAGGAGTGAAATGACAAGCATAAGACAGAGGCAAGACTCTATCTTGGATGGCCAGAAAGCACTCCTTGACAGCATCCGACAGCTGCAACCTGGATCAAGGTTTGCAAGTCCTGTTTCAATGTCAGCAGATTGCCCTACCGGTATTTCTAATCTGGCATCAGCACTGAAAACAGGGCAAGTCTCTCAGCAAGTAACTCTCAGGTTCAACACCCTCCCAGCAGCAACTGTACAGAGTACATTGTCCAAACCATCCGAATCCATACACAGCATTGGCTCTGCACCTACAGTCAACTCCCAAATGCCTCTCCTGGCCACGAAAGCAGTTGGAGGCAATTCCAAAAATTTGTCTCTCAAATCTGATTATGGTTATGATCTCAAACCATCTTCTACACCAGTTCCAGTTGATCTAAATAAATCAGAGTGCCAGAATGAGTCGCCATCCAAAGAATCTGTAAACCAGTTAACATCAATACCTTTCACGGACAGCAATGATTTTCCATCTGCTTCATCGCTAATTCCACCACCATCCACAGCAATTCCGCCACCATCCACAGCAATCAGTCAAACTGGAAATGTGTCAGGAAGCTCATCTGTACCATTGGAGTTAACCCCTGTCTGTGTCCTAGCTGCCCAACGTGGGATGTTTCTCCTTGGTGGAGTTGAGGGGATGGTGCGTAGTATTAGTAAATATGAGGACCACCTGTGGAGTTCCTGGCTGAGGAGTGGTGATGACACAGCTAAAGCATGTCGGTCGCTTTGTGCAACTTTACTTAAAAGTGAATTCTCTAAGCACGAGCTAGCCACAAGAAATCTTACCGGAAGGAGTAAAGACCCCTTAATGCAAAACATCGATTTCCCTAAGCTCGATGAGGTCATACTCCGGGCCATTTTTTCTCAGGCCAAGCTGCAGTTTCCTGGTTTCAAGGACTCTTATGAGGACTCCAGCTGTGCCACAGTCCAATTGCTCAATAACATATGCAGGCGTGTACGAGCCAACGAAAGAAAATAGACACTTAACAGCCTATGCAATGTAATTTTTTAATGTAAACCTGGAAGATGAGCCATTTTCAACGGTATTTTGGTGCATTCAGGGGTCAAATTTCATGAAAAGTCCACTGGACCACTGGGCCAGTTCCTCTTAAATTTACTGAACCGGAACACAGTTTACAAGACCAAGGCACAAAGAAAGGGAAATTTTGCGGAAAAAAAGATACCAGGCACATAATTGCCAAACATGCTCGGATGGTTAGAAAATCTTTTATATTGCCAATTTTTGTGTGTCCTGACATAACTATTCAATCATGTGTATTTCTGGACTGAATTATTTTCATTTGCACCACGAAAGCTATTGAAAGTGATCCCCAAAAGTGATCAAATCTTGCCTAAATCAATGTAAAAATATATTTAAGGTTGATTATTCTTAAAAATACTGGAGAATTTAAGTTGTTCACATGCACAACGTTACTAGTCATGATAGACTTTCACTCGGAGGTGGGGGGGGGGGGGGTAATATACTGAGTATACAGTGTTTATACGGCGTTGAAGGGCAAACCCTAATATTGAATTTACATCGCCTCAACGCAAATTCCATCTTATGAATAGTTTCATTGCGGTACCCGTTATTACATCAGATTCGAACTAGCCAACCGATTCTGCAAGCTCGGTGGGCGAGTGGTAAGACATCTGCAGTGCACTAGAAAGCAGGAGGTTGTGGGTTCAAGTCCTACCCGAGTGATGTACATTTGTATTCTCACTTTCTCCCAGGGGGTAACACTGAGTGTACAGTGTTTATATGTCAGTGAAGGGCAAAAACTAATATTGAATTTACTTCACCCCGATGCAAATTCCATCTTATGAATAATTAAATTCCAATAATGATATAATTTGAGGCTTCTTGTTTATATGCCAAAAGGCTTTAAGTGTACATACCCAGGGTACGGTACAGGGGTTATATTCAGTTTTAGGCAGTTTATTATTTATAGTCAGCCTGTTCGCTGGTTACTCAGATGACAGTGGGCTTGCCCATTGTGTCTAAGCAAAAAGAGATGCATTAACACAAGAGGTCTTTAAAAACGTGATCACATCTCTGTTGAAAAACATCCTGGTGCAATAGACTTGTTACATGCCTGTATATATTTCTGTGTACTATTTTAAAATGATGACAATTTTTCAATTCTAGGCATTGTGCATGGACTGCCTTAGTTAACCTGTACATATTTTGTACATGATAGAACAAATTACACTCTGATTGAAACAAAAATGCCTGAACTGCATGCAAACTTGCTGGGTTTTTTTCTTCAAAATTTGTTACTTTTCCCCCCACAGCTTGGGCTAATGGGAAAGTACTTGTACGTGTAAGCAACAGTTTCAGTACAGATAATGGAAATTGGATAACGGAAAACTACTGATATTACAGTAAAGTTGTTTTTCTCAATAACGGTCTTGCACATCTTCGCATTACAAAGGCACAGTGCATGTGATAAAGAGTGCCTCGTATGAAAGAGTATTTCATGTTGCGCAGGAAAGCTCAAAGAAATCATAGTTTTCACTGGTGATTTAATTCAGTTCTTGTTTTGACATAAAGGTACAATTTAAAAAATATTAATAATAATGGTTTTGCCACTGTGATATGGGACACTTGTTTTCTTCTTAACGACGCATGTGATTATATTAGTTTGCTGTGGCTGTCATCATAGTGCTCATGTATTGAAAGCCTTCGCAAATGCAACAATTATTAATAAATACCTTCGAGAGTTGATGGTTTCTGATTGGTTGAGACTCGATCACGTGGGGGTGTATTAACGGTGATATAAAGACCGGCTTCAAAGAACAAGCGAAAAAATGGCCCCTGAACCAGCATTGATCCAGCCCCATGGAAGGCAATGATTGGCCAAATTTACAACAGTCATACGGCAGCTTGTAACAATACAGCACTGCACATGCGCTCAACCACCTTCGCGTGAGACTGACGCGCGCGTACGCAACACAGTTTCTATGGGTGCGCGCGCGTACCGTAAGGAAGTTTTAAAACGACATCGTACAGTACAGCAGTGCAGTATACTGAGGATGTTTACGACGAAAGCGTAGATCTACGATTTATTTTCTTTAAACACTTTGCCCATCGACATATTTACCTTTCCTAAACCAAGCATCTTTGTAATTCTGGACACAAGGAATGTGTAAACGAAATTTCAGCTTCCTCCATCAGGTAAAAATATGAAAACATTGTTGTAATTTGTTTCGCTACGGCAGCAGAAGTCCAAACCCTGGACGTCGTACGCGTACGCAATGAAGACGTTGTCCAGCGCAGCCTGGGCCCGGCTGTGGTGTATATAACAACGCTTATTGAAGAGACAGGGTACCACTCATAAGTTAAAATATGGCCCATGAACATGAACACAAAAAAGTCTGGAAATATCGCCAAAAGAAAGTCACAAAATTGGAGCATTTTAACTGTTTATTTCGTTAAAAAGGTCCATTAAAAAGGTCCATTAACAGCGGTCACTCCCAAACCCGGTCATTATCACGCAGCGAAGACCGGCTCCTCACACTGTTATTCCCTTAGTAATTGTGACTGGCTGTTTTTTTGGGGGGGGGTGGTCGGTTTTAATAATATATGTATTTAGCAAATAAATGTGTATCTAGCTACATGTAAACTGTCCATCAAGTTGTTGTGATCAGTATTTTCTGGTTGGAGATTGGTGTGTATGCATGTACTCCGAACTAAAGTCTTTGTTCAGCTATTCTTCTAGGCCTATGATTGCCAAAGCAACCATCTTGATTATCTGTACTCCAAAAACATTCACACCTTTACAAAGGACACTTTGTAAAAACATTACAGAATAGTAAAATGACAAATTGAATGAAATGGTTGTCCTGACATAAAAGCATTCAATAAAATGTGATAAATGTCATCTAGTTCACTTTTTAAGTTCCACTGTAAGATCTATAATAAACAGATAATACATGTACATGAAGTTAAGAACTTCCTTCTTGTAAATGTCTGGGTGATGAATAAGACAACCAAAAACACTGGAATTAGATGGCGAATTATGTCCAATCCTGAAGATCTAGATTCTGCAGATGACATCGCCTGTCGACAAACTACTCACAAATGCAAAGGAAAAACAAACAAATTGTCCGACATGGCAAAAAAAGTTGTATTAAATAAAGATCAACCAAAAGAAGTCAAAGATCTTGAGAATGAATAGTAAAAAGATGGATGCTATGCAGCTTGACGAAAATGACCCAGAGGAGGTAGACAAATTTGCCTACATGTACCTTGTGCAATTGTAAACAAAGAAGGCGGCTTGGGGAGAGATATGAAGCCAGAATTGTCTTCACAAAATTGAACAGTCTTGAGATCCAAACAATTTGGAAGAAACACTACATGTAAGTCAAATTATACAAGGCATTAGTCAGACCAGTACTGCTCTGTGCTTGCGAAACATGAAAAATGAACAAAGCTGACGAAAATAGGCTAGACTCATTCATTATCAATGCCTAAAGAGGGCCCTTCAATTGGTATAGAAGAACTTAACCTCACTCAAGGGAAATACATCAGGAAGTCCAACACAGACGATGGAACCGGATTTGGCGTGTTTTAAGGAAAGAACGTGACCACCCTTGTATGACTGCCCTAACTTGGCAACCAAATGGAAGGTGCAAAGTAGGAATACCGAAAACAACTTGGAGAAGGAAAGTAGAAAAGGAAAGAAAGTTTGCAGGATGGAGGACGTGGAAGGAAGCTAGGGGATGCACACGGGATAGACACAAATGGAAGCAGAGCGTGATGGCCTTATGTGCCACAGGGCACAAAACAGACAGGATAGGATAGGAACCAAAATTAACACTATACATGTACATGTAATCCTATCAGGACTGGAGCTTGAGCTTGGATATTGAAATACACACCAGCCATTGATTTGGTAATTGGGACCTTCTTAAAATAATCATAGTTGGGAAGAAATTGGGAAGATCATTTGGTAGTATGATTGAAGTACTGCACCTCCAAATTTTGCAGATTTGGTTGTCCCTGCAGGGTCCAATTTCAAAACGCTGCTTAACAGAAGAAAAGTTGTGCTAACTATAGCAGAAAATGTTGCTTACCTCTAGCAATACTTCATGGTGTGGATGTGCTAACGGCTGCGCACATAGAGAGATTTCTATTATTAAGTCACTAATTTAAGCAACTTTTCCACTGAGGTAAGTATGCCTTTTCCTGTGCTAACTGCTTATGATCTTCATGAAATGGACAGAGGCTCAGTTAGCAGAAAATCATGTGCTTTGCAATGCTATGAAATTTGGCCCTTGTTTTTCTTACCTTTTGATATGGAATGGAAAGTAGCTAGGAGAACAAATGTGTCCTTGTGCAAAAAAAAAGTCAATGCAAAAGAAGAGGAAGACTTTGAAAATCAACTGAAAAGAGATTGCCAGCAGAATAAAAAAGAAGAAATATAATCCTGAGAAACTAGAATATACATGTAACAGGATGGCCAACTGATCCGAGTTATTGGGACCTGATTTCCCTTGTGTGCATTATCTGTGGTGCTAGTCTATTGTTCATAGCTCGATGGCTTTATTCAGTTCTGGCGGTATTTACATGTAATACAAGACACACAATGTCTGTCATGTTAGGTCTTAAAACTGTAATTGTGAGATAGCTGGAATATATGTGGATGTCTCTTACTCAAATCCTTTGAAAATGACAAGAACACTCTAAACTACAGATTTAAGTGGTAGAAACGTTACAATATTTATTTATTTTCAAAAATTCATGTTTAACTAGGACATCATCAAAATGACTATAAAACATGTTTATTTATTTTTTACAACTGGCATAAATCTGTGTGACCCATTGAAATGATTACACTCCCTCACCACTGAACTTGGTGTTAAAGTATTTGATGCAATTTTGACATGTATTTTCTTATTTCAGGTACCGTGTATTTGTTTGGTCGAGTGTGGATTGAGTCTGCAAAGACACACGTCAGCTGCTGCCTGTCTGTCAAGAACATTGAGAGAGTTATATACCTGTTGCCAAGGGAAAGGGTGAGTTTATAACATTTGGCTGAGTAAAAGCCGTAACTCAAACAGCGGTCGGAAACTCTCATTGATATTTTTAAAAATATACATTTTGAGACGGTAATAAAGTTCCCTTTATTGCCAAATGCCTTCATATCTATGTTGTCCAGCTTTTATATTCTATTTGACACTATTGTTTCATTTACTGTTCTTTACTAGTTTACTAGAGAGTATATTGAAAATATACATAACACTGAGCATAGTGAAATATTTTTAAGTAGTATATTCTAAATGTCCATGCTGAGAAATATTTCTGAACTAAAGGAAAACAATGTTGTAATAAATCTAGTATTCTTGTCTTCTTTTACAGGATTCACAGATAGCTTTTTGGACAATTATATTACAATTGTTACTATTTTTCAGAAATCCATATTTCTTTTAATTGTTGGGAATAGATGGATGAATTTGAAAAGTTGACAGGCCTGCAAAAGGATCTGAACAGTTGTCATGGTGCCCGGTGTTATTTTCACATTTTTGCTTAATGTTTTCAGAGGATTAACAGCAAGACTGGACAGGATACTGGGGAAGAAGTCAGCATGGTGGACATATATCAGGAGTTTGACAAGCTGGCTAACCATTACAAGATCATGAAGTATAGGTCCAAGGTAACGTCAACACTGTTGTCCTTATGGTTACATTTTGATCATTTTTTTTTTGGGGGGGGGAAGGCGGCTTCCCCATTTTGGTTTCTATTTTATTAAAAATATCTCTCTGTCCAGGAGAAGTTTTTAGGGGTGATAGATAGATCTGTTCATGTAATTTAGGGATGCTGTGTAATGTGTGTATGTCCAATGTATGCCACTCTTGATTTTCAAGAAGGCAGGGAGGGGTGTGGAAATGGGTGAGGGGTTTGTATAACTAACAAAGAAGTCGCTCCAACCACTCAGGAACTGAAAAAGTTCAGCTCCATCCTACACCTTGTAAGTGCCGCTTGTGTGCGTCATAACATGACAGACTGTCCACAACGGTCAGTCCTCATCGGTCTTGGTTTGAACTGCTTTGTTCTCTTCTACAAAACGAGAATCAAGCAATGAAGTTGTTATTGAAGTTATTGTTTGGACCACACCAAGAGACTAATTGGAATTATGTTAAATTTGTCATTACTCTTGTTTTGTTCTTGTTATGCTTTATGTTTACAGTTCAAAAAAGTTCTTTTAATTTCATTTACTTCAGATTGAACCACTCCCCCCCCCCCCCTTCGCTTAAAATTGCCCATTGCTCGTTCCCTCAAGAATGTATGCCCTGCCCTTTTACGTTAATTTAAATCGGCAAAATATTTCTCATTTTTTCTTGGTTGGCAGTATTCATTAACTTTGAGGTACATTGTATCTCTTTGCACACCCATTGTACTTCGACAAGTAGTAAAAATTTTAGATATTACAAACTGTTCTTCAATGTATGTATAATTATTTGACATTTTAGAAAGTCACCAAGCAGTACTGTTTTGAGAAGGATGGTATTCCCTCTGAGTCGGAGTATCAAGAAGTCAGATATGGGGTATGTACATAAATATAGATGATCCAGTTAAACATTCAGTGCACTGCCCAATTTCTCTCAGTTTTAGGCAGTAAATTTAGTGATTGACTGGACCGCTCCTGAGGTATGGTCACTAAACAGATAACAAAGAAACCATATTAAATTACTTTTTGCCAATTTCAAACTTCAATAATTCCATCTCGTACTACATTCAAATGTCCATTTGATTTTGAATTGAATACAGTCTGTATTAAGGATATTATTAAGTCAATGCCATTTTATGCACGATATCGCCCTTGGTACATTTAAGACACCTGTGTTCGTAGACAAAATGAATTGATTTGCGTTTTATTTACCTGTCATTTTTGTAGGCTGAGTTCCCCCAGCTTCCGATTAATGTGGAAGGAGAGACCTTCAGTTGTGCATTTGGCACTAACACCTCCAGCTTGGAACATTTACTAATGGAGAGGAAGATGAGGGGTCCATGTTGGCTTGACATCAAGATGCCACGTAAGCCAGGCAGCACTTAGCCTTATGACTTAGGGCCCAACTGAAAAATGGTTTTCAACAACTCATTTTCTTAAGAGAAATGTCTTGATTTTGCAGCTAGTTTTACAATGACATGTCCTGGCCTGGGATTTTGTTGACTTTTTATCCAGCATGCAACTTGTCTTCCGATGAGAAAAATTTGTTCTTGTCTGCTTTTCATGTATGGCATTAAAAATTGAAAAGCACTACAGATCTTGTAAAGTTTGGAATTTCCTCTTTTGTTGTGATTTCCAAGTTGCAAGCCTGGTTATATGTGACCCTTCAATAGAACATCAATGTAATAAAAGGCACTTCAATACAGACATCAAGTAATGATAGTTTTAACATGTTTAAAATACATGAATGCTGTAATATGATACGTACAAGAAATGGTGACAGTTAACAAATATTTTTCTTTGCATTTCTAATGTCTAAATCATGGCTTTGCTGCCGCATTTATGAATACATTTCCAGGTCAGTCTAACCAAAAATGTATATTCCTCGTCTGTGCCAGAAATCAATCAAATTAGAAATTTTCATGATAAGTAAAATGTAATTTTTAAAAATTCATTTCAGAGGTTCCATCGCAGCAAGTCAGTTGGTGTAAGATTGAAGTTTTCATCAATAAACAGGAAAACATCACCGTTGTCAAGGATTTGCCCCCACCCCCACTGGTTGTCATGACGATTAGCTTGCGGACCTTGCTGAATCAGACAACCCATCAGAATGAGGTTAGACTATGAAACAACTCTTCATAAAAATCTATGTTTAATGTCTATGTGTGGATTATTCAACGATTTAAAACGTGGAAATATTTCATTATACCAATTGAAAAGTTGAACAAAGAAATGACTGGAGCGGGGCTTGAAGCAGCGATCTTCGGATTATCGTTATAATTTACCTAGTCAGTTTCCCTCTGTGGTCTATTTGAAATTTAATACTATACAATATGAAACATGGTAACAAAAGTGTCAAATAAAAAAAATTAGTATCTTCTCAATAATTTTGGTGTGAGATTGCCACACTTTCCTCCATCTCTCTTCGTGTGAATATGAATCTATTCCGTCAAAAGTAATTCTTCGTTGGATCTAAAGTCACAGTAGAATTGAATAATTTGAAAACATTTGCGCTTTACAGGTCATAGCAGTTGCTGCCCTTGTTCATCACAAATTCCCAATGGATAAAGCCCCACCCAGGCCCCCATTCCAACAGCATCTATGTGGTAAGTTTCCTCATCTCATTTCTTTCCTTAATGGATCAATAGGTAGTCTTCATGTGTGCTCCTAAAATTTACTGTAAACATGACACAAGGAAAATTGAGATAAAAAAATCCAATGAACAAACTCAAATTTTATTGACAACTGTCATTTTTGTTGAGATCATTTTGTCAATGTCTGAGTCCTCTTTTATTTGCAAATTTACTGCTTGTTTTCGATGAGTCATTTTACAGTGACCACTGTCATGTTCGCTATTGATTGAAAACGAGAGGAATTTTTAGACAAGTCTTTATTTTATTCTGATATATTTATTTGTTTCACATTACAGCTATTTCCAAACCAAGTGACTGTATATTTCCCTTTGACCTGAAGGACACAATTAAGAAGCAGGTTTGTACGAGATTTCCTTCAGTTTTCCCTGATAACTTGAACTTCATCGCTACAAAACTTAACTCTGCCGACTTTTTAATTTAGGTGATATTAACCTTAGCAGGCATTTTGTGTTTTTTGTCCCTAGAACTCCAAGGTGGAAATCATGCCAACGGAGCGTGCTTTATTGGGGTACTTTCTCGCAAAGATTCACAAAATTGACCCGGATGTCATTGTGGTGAGTCAAAAACAATTTTTTCCCTGAGCTTACAATGCTTTGAGATGTATAAGCTGTGTTTTAGATTTTGATTTTGATCTATCAATGCAACTATTTCTACAAATGTTTCATGATCAAAGATTTTAATGACTTCTTTTAATTTTGCTTTTTGCTGAACACATTCTCTTATAATAGAATATTAAATCAACCCACTTAAATAAGGATGTGACGTTTACATGTTTAAATGAAAACAATTCTATATCCATTTACAAATTTTCAAAACGTTAAATGAAACCCAAATTATAAAAAAAAGGAACCTACTTTCACGTGATCATCCTTTGAGTTAAACATGCCTAGCACAAATACTTAACAGTGTTTTCAAACCAATTTAATTTACAAAACCCCAGTGCTTGATTTACATTCAGAGTACACATAGTTTTTACTGTTTCAATGACTGTTCGCTATTTATTATGTCAACCATTGTTGATCATGTTAATCACGCCGGTCTGCAGACATATTGGACAGGTATTGGCCTTTGTGAATTAGCTAAAAGCTTCAACATTTGAACAGTATTTAAAATATTTGCAAAAGTAAATGCAAAGTCACATCCTTACACATAAATCCCCATCTTAGTTTTGATGAGCTTGCTTTTAACATGAAAGATAGATAGTTTATTTTATTATTCAGGCATGCAACTGTTCCTAGGATCCACTTATTTCCTCGTTTTTTACTTCTCATGAATGCAATTACAAATTGAAAAATACTGTACAAAGTCTTGTGTGGTTTGGAACTTCCTCGTTTTTTCTAAATTCCCTGTTGCATACCTGAATATTGTCTGTTTTTTTATTTCAGGGGCATGATATCTTTGGGTTTGACTTGGATGTCCTGCTACATAGAATCAATGCTAACAAGGTTCCTCATTGGTCTCGTATTGGACGGCTCAAGAGAACAAACATGCCCAAATTAACAGTAAGTATACTTCTCTTGTGAATGAATAATCTGTATAAATCGATAAAACACACAAAACAAGTTAGTTTACATTTGGACATTGTACAAATGTTTGGCGTTTTTATTAATTCTCTAAAAAGACTCTACAACCCTAGATCAATTACCAAAATCACACTCTGACAAAGAACAATTGTGAATTAAAAAGTTTGCAGTTTGATTATCATTTTGAATTCTGGATTTATTTGTGAATTCAGAAGCTTGTGCATAGGTCTGTTCATTTCCGAATCCTTTAATATTCAATTATTCTTGCTTGCATGAGATGGAGCATTCTAAATGCACTGGTCAAGTTTAACATGCACCAGCTTATACAAAATGGCCATTGATCAGGATTTGCCAGTGCCTGCTCTTGTCGAAAATCAAAAAAGAAGTTATGAAAATACTATAAAGAAGAAGTAGCGGAGTGGCTGGTATTTGATCGAGTTTACCGAATTATTTACCAGATATTCCTCATGGAAGCTCTCTAATCATGTGCGCATGTGGCCTTCAACAAAAGTGTGGCATTTGATAAACAATAAAACCACACAACTTATTTGATTCAAAAACATCGTGGACATTTTTAATAATCTCAAAACTTCTCACATGTTTTGGAATATTTGAATCAGAAAAAAAATTATCGGGGTATTGGGTTGATGATCAAACATTGTGTACATTCAGCACAGCCCTACTCCTTTACATTTTGAATTCAAAATCACATTTGAATTCACTGTGTTGATGTTGGAGTGGCTTTCATGGTTAATATCAGCATTGGATGTCACTTTGCTCTAGACTGTGTTCCATTACATCACCTTCGACTAATGGACATAATCATTTTTACATTGTTCCACCATTGCAAATGTACACAGCCATTTATAGGCAGCCAAGTTAGGCAATCCAACAGCACTCGTAGTTATAAGTTACTTTAAAATATTGACCCCTTGAACAGCCATGCAACTTTTCCTCGGATCAGCTGATTTCCTCTTTGGGTAACTGTAATATGTCAATTGTAATGTGGCATCTGGGAACTGCTAATCACAAATTCTATTTTCACTAAAGTGTAACTGTTAGAGAACCCACCCATTTGCTCAAGTATTTTGGTAAGAAAATTGATTTGCATTTGTCTTTATGAAAACTACAAGAACATGAATCGGTCACCATACTGAGGTTGCAACACCCATCATTACTCTTGTATAATGCTGGTTTGTCTCAGGGTGGATATGGTGGAAAGGGCAGCACCTTCTCAGAGAAGAATGCTACATGTGGACGCATGGTCAGTGACATCAAGATCTCAGCCAAGGAACTGATCCGATGCAAAAGCTATGATCTCTCAGAGCTCACCAAGCAGATTCTGAAGAAAGATAGACAACAGATACCATATGAAGAATTCAGGAACATGTACAGGTATGGTTTGATTTCATCCAAAATAAAGAGTTGTCTTTGTTATTTATGATGAGGGACTAAAAGTATGGCTTGGCACTAGCACTCAAATTCTGTGCCATTTTTGTAAGCACAGAATCCTTTGTAACAGGATTTATGGATTCACACACACAGTGCTTGCCATTACAGCAGAACTGTCTGCTAAAGTTAGCAGCAATTTTGGCAGAGACATGGCCAATTTCACGTCTCTGCTAACCACAGAACTCCGTGCTTACGATCACCATTTTTGTGCTAACCGCGCTAGCCAAAAAATTCTGTGCTAGCCCTGTAAGCACAGAAGCCTTAATTACAGGATGTACGCATGTGCAGAAGCCAAAATTCCTTGTTGACCCGTGAAATACGATTACCATAAGCACGGAATTTTCTGCTACAGTAAGCAGGGATTTTTCGCTAACCGCAAACAGAGCCATGCAATTGGGCCCTGGTCTTTGCTGAACCATTAAGGTCTAATGCAAATGCGAAGTAAATTTGACGTCGGAGTTCAAATGTGTTTAACTTTTGCGAATTCGCGCACTAATGTGGTGACATCACGCTAGGCTTTTAATGACTAAGGAGAAAATGTCTATCGTCAGTTAAATAATTGTCAAGACCAAGAAAAGGTTATTATTTTTAAAAAATAATTGTGTCATGATGACTAATGCAATTTATGGCAAACCATTTTCATCTTTTTCATTTTCAGTCTTTTTCCATTTCTTGAGACCACATGCTAACTTCAGAGCAGTATATGCATGAATTCTAACACACTTTAGAAGCATCCATATACTCACTTAAGTAACGTGGCGAGCATGAAAAGGCTTATTAGTCTAGCACAGTTTGTCTGGTAACTGTTTACCTGCACCGTGAAATAAGGTTCAGATCTTTTTGCTACTTTTTGTTGTCTGATGATGACCATTCTAAAGATGTGAAAGACTGGCTTTTAAATGAGGATCATGATGAGAATAAGGATCAGTCCTTCTGTTTTGAGGCGTGCAATCACACCCCCACGCCATCACACGCCTAAAAGCTTCCCAAGAAGTGCGAATAATCGCACGCCTGAATCCCTCAATACCGCACACCTCAGCATACATTTACAGCATAATTTTACTTCATAATTTGTGAAAAATAAAGTACGTCAGTGAAGAGAAAATGGCTTTATTGTAAACCAAGATGAATATTATGAAATATATCCCAGCTTGGACCATAGAATCACACACCTAGAAAAATCACTCGCCTAGAAAATCACACGCCTAAAAAAGTCACACGCCTAAAAAAAATCCAATTGTGCTTTTTTCCACACATCTGTGATTTTCAAATCAGAAGGACTGAGGATGGACATGTTCAACTTCCTGTTCACAAAATACTGTTTTTTTAAGTGAAAAATGGATTGTATGCATCAAATGAGATTAAGAAAACGATATGTGATTTTGAACAATTGATTACGTGACAAATCTTTGTCTCCAATGAGAATACTCTCTCTTTAAAGTTATGCCATTGAACCTGTGCGATTGGCTCTCATCTAGTATTAAAAATGGTTAAAGTTTTGTAAGGTGATTGTAATGTTAGGAGTTGAGCAGTGCTGTATATTCATTGCAACCGCTGTTCCTCTGTCTTGTTTCTAGCACATCTCGCCACATGATGTATTTCATTGAGAACACCTGGATGGACGCATCACACATCCTTGACATCATGTGTGAGTTGAATGTGATACCTCTAGCGCTGCAAATCACCAACATCTGTGGTAATGTCATGGTAAGTCAAAAGTCACTTGAACTGATACCAAATTGGAAAAAAATATCTGAACTATGAAGATTTTATTTCATGAGTGCCAAAGCAAAGAATGAGGAGTTCCTTCCACTTAAAAATAATTCAGATGCTTGAAGTTAAGATTCGGAACTGATTGTTAGTGTTTACCCTAACCCCCTAAGGGCTCTTTGGGGGTCAAGTACCAAATACCACAGATTACTACATGCTGGTTCATAATCTGCTGTATGGTGTCAAATTAAAATGCTATACCACTGCGGTGTGTGCTTCCATTACTAGTCTCGTACTCTGATGGGGGGACGATCTGAGAGAAATGAGTTCCTGCTACTTCATGCCTTCTATGAGAAGAACTTTATCTGTCCAGACAAGGAATATAAGAAGAAAGCTGCTCCTGTGACTGTTGTAAGTAAACAAGAGAGAAGAAAACCCACGTTTCTGTGAATTTGAAAATAATAAAAACAGGCTTGTGTTCATTAAGGAGCACCCAACCTCAAGCAGGTGTATCAAAATGTATCATGTAGAGACAGAAGCATAAGCAACTGAGCCGGAATGAGTTGTCTGTTTTGTGGCATGAAATTTAACCTGGATACAAGATGGTTGTGCATTTTGTTTTTGATTCCCAAGTAGGATGGCATCACAAAGCAGTGACAGGATATCCAGCTTCAGACAGAGCGACGTCAAATAACCACAATGCTAACGTCGTCTTAGCGAAATGAAGCCTGACGGGTTCATCCATGCACATATTTATGGGAATCTAAAAAGAACAATTTCTGCTCCAAGTTGGCATTTGCACAGTTGGATGTCATTTTTAAAATGACACAGCATTACAAGCAAATAAATTAACATTTAGGCAGCTCTTGGTGTGTTGCATAGCATTTACTGTCTTAATATTGAAATATTTGTTTTATACAGCACGATGATGAAGGCAATGAGGACGTAGAGAAGCCAGCCAGTTCATCCAAGGCACGTCGCAAACCAGCCTATGCAGGAGGCTTGGTACTGGAACCAAAACGAGGTTTGTTATCAAATATGTCATGATATGTACAGTGACATATTGTCACATCAAGAGTTCTGGTCAGTCAGTCCTGAAGATGCACAGATTGTTACCACCAAAATATCAATTTTTTGTTGAAGAGGGAATATTGACTGAAATGGAAACTGAGGTCTTGAATACTATAAGTTAGCCAATGAGTACATGTGCAACGTAGAATAATGTAGTGCGTGTGTCCCATATGGACTACAGGCATAGCGGCACACGGAGCACTAACGCACTACATTTTCCATGCTGCACAAATGAAAATCTATCTCCATGTAAACTTGATGCACAGTAAAGATGTAACGCATATATGCTGTAGCAATGTTGTAACTGTTATCCCATTACACATTGGTGCAGTACTTAGAAAAACGTGTGCATATAATAGATTAGTATGTGATACATACCATGCAATACGAACTGTGCAGTACGGGATAATACCAAACGGTTGTAATACCAAGGATTCAAGCTTGCTTGAAGAGAAGATTCAGAGTTTTACCAACTCAGCTTTTCATCCATATTTGGGAGAGCTCCCAAATGTCTACACAACACAATTGACATCGGTGGTAAGACCAGATATCAACTTGACCATTCCTATGTCTTTACCCACCAGGGTTCTACGACAAGTACATTCTACTTCTGGACTTCAACAGCCTTTATCCATCCATCATACAAGAGTATAACATCTGCTTTACTACAATCAGCCGCACACCAAGACCAGAGGAAACGGTAGGCATCTACATTTGACCTGAAGAAAAAGGGGAGGGGGGAATTGTAAAAAGCTTAACCTCAGCAATGCTACACGCTGGTTATATCAACCTGATTATGTCTGTTACATTGTCCACCTCGGTGAACATCAATTTTTCTAACAGTTCACTACATCAGGGACTCGCACTGGACAACTTCTTGCTATACTTTGGAGCTAATCTATTTATTGCTACATTCTCATACTCTGGAGCTATACAAAATGTTGTGCACTCTCTGGTGCCTCAGTTAAGATTAACAACTTCAATTTCCTTCCTTACTTTTTATATGTCCCTAAGGCCAAAAAAAAAAAGTCTCCGGTTTCTGGTATGGAGCTTGCCCAAAAAGTGGTGGGGCGACGCGGCTTTTTTTTTTTTTTTTACCCGACTTTTTTGCTTCAAATGTCGGCTGATGACTGCAAATGGTGGCCGACTAAACTTAGTGCAAAATGTACGGGAGTCCAGAGAGTCCACATAAAGCTTATTCTCGATCATACCCCCATCTAAAAACACGTTAAAATTGTGCTGCAGCAGAATTTCAGTAGAACCAGTGAGTTTGGCGGTTTTGAGACATCATCTTTTATTGAAAACAAAACTTTTTCATTTTGCCGACGCGCATGGCTACGGCGACGCGCGCGCATACCAGAAACCGGAGACTTTTTTTTTTTGGCCTAAACCATTGTTAGATGTCAGCCCCACTCTCAGTGGTGGTGTGACCACATCTTCTCCTTGAAGAAGTTTTCCAACTCTTCTTGAGGGTAAAACCACATCCTTTCCTGGGATATTTACTGGGTTCTCTACCACCCACCTTATTCTTCCAAGAATCCCAACACTGGCCAAAGTGGCCTTGCTATGGGTTATCGACCTACAGGTTGATATGTACTTACATCACAATGTCCATCTTATGAATAGCCTAATTATTATTGTGTGGAGTACCACTAGTTTTAATTAAATTGAATTTAATTGAATCGTTGAATATTATAATTCAGAATTTTGAAATGAAATGCTGATAAATTTGAAGAGGAAAAACAAAATAGTTAACATACAGACTTGTATGTGTGAAGTTTTGTCCATTGTTATCACCGCAGTTATTGCTTTATTATTACCGAAAATCTTCCTCTTAATACCATGGTGTCAATGAATATGCAAGTATTCATTCATATGGAAAAATGAATATTTGAAAATTGAATTATTGAACCCTACCTCTATCAACATGACGCAGGTGATTGTGGGGTTGCTTGAAAATCATCTGAGTTTGCCATCATTAACCTGGGTAATGATGAATATTAAATTAAGTGTTAAAAATAATGATAAAGGCGGAAAATTAGATAGCTAAAGGTTCAGGTAAAGATGATAGTACAATGAGATGGTCCTTGTGAACTACATCATGGAATGATTTAAACATCAGATTAGTGGTCTTTCTGAGGAGCAGTATGTCCTTGAGCAGGAGTTTTTACCACAGTTGCGTCTCATTTTCTATAAATGGGTAACCTAGAGAGATGCTTGGTGATTGACCTTTATCAGTAGAATGCATCATCATGGCTGCAATTATTTGGAACTGAATATTTCAAGGATTTGCAAATGAAAGAAATTTCATGCCAATTGAAGGAATGGTAATTACACAAGAATTAAGCACTTATAAAACAGATTGATCTTAGGCATTCAGCAGCCATTTTTTAAATTAAAAATCGTCTGTTGACTGTACATCGTTCTGTATTCCACAATAACTTGACAGCTATGTTTTAAGTGCCTTATTTGTATGTGTATATTTGTTGTAGGTGGATGATGATTGGTTGCCGGAGGTGCCAGATCGTTCCTTAGAGATAGGAATCCTACCAACAGAGATACGAAAGCTTGTAGAGAGACGTAAACAAGTCAAGCAACTCATGAAGCAACCAGACCTTAATGCCGATCTCAAACTCCAGGTACCAACAAAATAACATGTGTATCTGACATTGTCTCAACGGAAAATTTGTTTATTATATGGGTCATGCTATAAATTCTGTGTCCACATTTTCTTTCCTGTACCTGTTACATCTATGATGTTATAATTCTGATGCACTCCTTAATGCAGTCGTCCTCCAAATAGTAAACTAACTACCTAACAAATAATAAAATATATATAAAGCCATTCTTAATGATATTTGGACGGTAAACTACAAACCAAGGAACTGGTAACAGAGACAGAAAAATGTCACACTTTGGATCCTAAATTAAAAAATATGAACCATATTGCGGTAATGCATAACAGACCACATATTTGACTTGTAAACCTTATGTATATTGGCAGTGCTGTATGTCGTGGCTAATGCAGCACACACACATCATGCTGCACATTTAAGTGACAACAATGAATTTTCATGGAACCTTAAAATTCACACAGAATAGCATGCAATGGCAGAAATTTAATATCTCATCTATAATAAGTTCTTTGTTGCAATAGGATATGACGTGTAGAGTAGGTGCTATTTGAAATGGTACGCGTACGGGATACGTATGCGGCTCGGTAAAACCAGCTGGTTATATCACCATTTCGTATGATATAACCCAGATATATATATCTTAACATTTTGATGTGAAATGCACATTAACCATAATGTGCCAGCTGAAATCATCATGCAAAATTATTATTTACGCGTACCATTTCTAATGGTCCCTGATATCTCAAATGCTTCTTCAAACTCATCGTGTGACACTTTAGACCAGAGAAATTACACTGGTCTCCTAAAAAAAGACAAACAAGTTTGAATGGCAAACCTAGGATGGTGTGTGAATGACTAATATCTAGTTCATTCAATGAATTTCAAGTATTTTTCATTAGACAGCAACTTTGTTGTCTCTGAACTATGTGATTTGGATTTTATAGTCAACAAGTATTTCCTTTTAATAGCTTGTCATTGTTTTTTTTCCCCCTTAGTATGATATTCGTCAGAAGGCTCTGAAGCTTACAGCCAACAGTATGTACGGATGTCTGGGTTTCTCCCATTCTAGATTCTATGCCAAGCCGCTAGCAGCACTGGTTACAGGCAAGGGGCGAGAGGTAAGGTGGAGACCCTCACTCAGGTCAGACTATGAATTTGGATGAGCACAGATATTTGATTGAAGAAGGATTTTTTAAATCTCTTGATTATATTTTAACAAATAGGCTGTGTTACCTGTGTGGAATTGTAATATCAGAACTTCCAGGCCAGTGCAACTTGTATGGCAGGGATGAGATTTGTCACAATTTTTCCTGATTTCAGCATTTTTTGACAAGATTTTCTTTCTGATTTCAGGATTTAAAAAAATCCATTTGGTATTTTTACCTATAAAAGGTTACATAGAACAAAAGACAGAGGTACGTATTTTAAGGGATGATTTCAGCAAATACAAAGACCCTAGGTTGCTGTGGAGCCCTCAGCAACCCTCAAACCCTGTGCTGATTATTTCATGGATTGTTCATTTCCCCTCCAATCTCACTTTTGATATAGGCTTGAGAAATGTACCTGAACAAGCTCAGGCAGCCTGTAAGGAAATATGACATATTTGATAAAAAGCTTAAGTGGTAATTCTTGCTACTAGTTTTTTGTATCATGTTAAAACGGCAATTTTTTTTTACTTCGTATTCATTCCCAAGAGGAGACAAATCAGTATGTCTTGTCCTTTCCAAGAAAAACAAAACAAAACCACATCCATCGTTCTGCTTCCGATTACATGCCTTTCAAAAATAGGGTCGGTTGGTCGGAATTTCTTTTTTTTTGCCAATATTTTTAATGCAGATTGAATGGGGTATTCAATTATATGCGAAGTTTTAGCCTGAACTATTTCCATTGCACTACGAAAGCTATACACTAAATGGGCACAAAAAGTGAATAAAACCTACCTTAATTATTGTCAATATATTTACGTTCGATAATTCTTAAAAAAAAATAATGGAAAATTCAGGCCGTTCGCATCATATGCACAACGCTAGTCAAGACGGAAAGCTGGCCAAAACTCCGAAGTGTGTGATGCACTGTGCATGTGTGGCCCGCGGCCGACAGACCTCGTTTTACGGTCGAAAATTTTGGGAAACACGCTGCATGTATCGCTCCAAATACGAGTAGTGCGATCTCAAAATGAACTCTGGAACACGAAAAATACATACACAGACAAGGTAGATCAATTCTGTGAATTAACTTGCAAAAATGTTCTTTCTCCATCGGTGTTTTCTTGGCATTTTTACGATGTCGAATCCGACAGTGCACGTGCCTAATGCATAGCCATGCTAGCGCTAGCGATCGCATAGCCATGACAGACTGGTTACCGCACTTTCATCATGTCTTCTAAATTGGCCCCTGCGCGGCGCGGCGGGAACCAGTCGTCACTGCATTGAGCAAGGTTTACGCACGTGATTATTGTCACCGTGACTATATTCAATAATTGTTTTTTTATTTTGTTGGAATTGCCGCTAAAAAATTTTAGGGTCGCAGCCTAAAAAATAGGGTTGGTCGGGTAACCGGAAGCAGAAGTATTATTTTTTTTGGCCTAAGGATCTGTGAAGGTAAACTACCTCACAATACTAGCAAGAATCCTTGCGAGTGAATCCTTTTTGGAGAAGACAATGAAAGCAATGCCAATTTTAGATGTGAGAAAAACTCACAGAAATTGTTTTATGAATAACCGAAACAAGTAGGAACTGACAAATCCTATCAGATGGGATTTGAATCAAGGTCACTAGTGTTGGATGCTGAGTGGGGAAAGTATGAAACCGAATGATGATAAGCCATACATTGAAGCCTTTAATATCTACTCTAAAGGGAATCAGAATCCCTAACCATTGGAACACAGTGCAAAACCTGTTCAAACCGTCTATCCACCAGTGGTCAGAAAGAATAATTTTAAACATCAGATGCTCTGTAATTGTTTTGTTTTTGCATATTTATTTTCGTAAGAAGTGTTTGATTCTGATGAGCCAAATGGTTAATAAAAGTTCAACTCGTGAATTTGTGTCTCTTTTCAGATTCTAATGAACACCAAGGAGCTTGTTCAAAAGGTAGGATTTTCTGCTCAAACAAAGCGATTCTTCTTCCTGTTGTACAGAATACTAAAATACAACTGGAGTAGCAGCCATTGCATGACTTAGAAAGCCAATTTGTTAACCTTCAAGGTATCTGCGAGTATATTTAATTACATGTAACATTCGTAGTTGCAAGATTTCTCCAGTTGTTCACTTTTGCATCTGTTTGTATTGTCATATCAAATAGAACATTCTCATCAAAATTGGTTGTTTTTTTTTTCATTTTTTGTAGCTGATATTTTTTTCTTCAAGAATGTTTTGTTTCTTGGTTATTTTCAGATGAATTTGGATGTGATATATGGAGACACAGATTCCATCATGATAAACACAAACACCAACGACTTGGATCAGGTCATGAAAGTCGGCAACAAGGTAAATGCTGCACTGGACCAGACAAACTTGAGACAATTGGGGTACCAGTGAACATCTTCCTCCGGCCAATGTGCACAAGTCCTGGGGTCTGTGACAATTTACCCCGCTGATGTTATTTTGCTAGCAGTGCATGTTCGGTGCATTCTGGAAGCTCGTGAGGAAACAAATTTCAGATATTTTGGACTTGAACCCAGTACATACTACTTACTAGTGCAGGTGTCTTAACTCTTTCGCTACGGCGAGCCGCTGACAGCGGCACACACAAATTGTACAGGTCGTACGGCAAGCCGCTGGCAGCAGCTCGTTGACGTCGCTGTGAATAAACAGGGTATCCCCATGACGTGTGCCTTATCTACATAATTGATATCGTATAACCTCTGACCCTAGTTTGAGCCCGTCTGGCCGGGGTGTGCTGCAGGTTATTGTGAGCAGTTTGTTTACGGAGATACATTTAAAGATGGCGGCGCCCACATCGATTTATTACGTCCAAACGGGACAAAATAGGTAAATTAAATTCCGTAGCGAAAGAGTTAAGCCCTTGATCACAACTAGTAAGTAGGAGGTTGTGGGCTGGTGTCCCACCCACCTAGGTAATATTTTGAAGCTTTTCAGACTAGATGTTGGAAAACATTAATCATACAGTGCTGTTGGTGAAGGACTAGCTCTGGTTTCAAACTAAACATCATTTTAACGCAAAAGAATTGCATGAGAGGCCTGCTTTTTTTCATAGTCAAACAATCAAATTTCTTGTAAAATATTTTTATGTCAAACAGTCAAATGTCAAGATCACTGTAGTCAGAAATAGGTTAAAGTCTTTGCCTTTCCCTGAAGAATCAAGTGGTTTTGACATTTGCTTTAAATTTTCAGCCACTCTTTACAGCAGTGTAATTCTTTATAAATAGGAAACACTGTTATTTCACACCAATACTTAACTGCTGTACTTTTGGTTGTCCTTTTGTCTGAAGGTCAAGAATGAAGTGAACAAGCTGTATCGTCTGTTAGAGATTGACATAGATGGCGTCTTCCAGTCAATGCTGCTACTCAAAAAGAAGAAGTAAGTTTTCCAGTTTTTCAAGTTTCCCCACTGTGTGTGGTGGACAAAATCATGGTGTTGCTCTTTGAAATCCAAAAGGAATGTTATTCGTTTTTCAGATGTCTTTTCTGATTCCAATTCTAAGAATATTCACAACATCCTGGTTGAACTGGCGCATTAAACTTCAATGCGCCCGAGCTCACACAGCCACGCAGATTTTTTTGCGTAACAATGCTTAGGACCAATCAGTAATGTGCCTTACTCTTCCTTTGCTTTTTGTTCAGGTATGCAGCGCTTTCCGTGGAACGTCATTCTGATGGAACGATAACAACCAGTCAGGAATTGAAGGGACTTGATATCGTACGCAGAGACTGGTGTGATCTGGCCAAGGAGGCTGGAAAGTAAGAAAGTTTCTCTTCTGAATATTACAATGAGTAACCTGCTTAACATCACAATAAAAAAATTGAATCCTTCTGAAAACGTGGAATGTGTTCTATGGTGTACAAAACAGCAGCATGTGGAGTCCCTCTAGATTGTTTCGATGTATTCAGGCCATTGGGTTTTTTCCTACAGTAAGCCATTGGTTAACTAAAGACTGATTCGTGACATACCTTCTCCCTGTACCTTGACAAACATGATCATCAAACCATTGGGCCCTAAATCGAAGTACTGTAAGCAGCAACCAGCACTGACAGCCGGGCTTGAAATGATCCACATGTATCTCACAGCAATGACTAATGGAATCTGTGCACAAGTTCACACTCACTGAAGTATGTTTCAATAAAAAGGGAGCATTCTTTTCTTTTCAGCTATGTGATTGGTCAGATCCTGTCAGCTGACCTGAGAGAGACCATTGTTGAGAACATCCATTCCAAATTGATAGAAATCGGGGAAAAAGTTGCCAAGAATGAGGTGCCTCTCAAGATGTATGAAATCAATAAGGTTAGTAAAGCTTGCGTGCCCTCCTGAACAAAACAACAATCTTACAGTGAGGTTGGGCTGGGGAACCCGATGGGTTGGGCTGGTATAGGTTAGGTTAGGTATTATTATTATTATTTTATATTTTTATTGTTAATCTCAATACCAAGGACATCCAGTGTAGGATTTGGCTAAACTGGAATGGGATGGGCGTCGTTAGGTTGGGTTGATCGATAAGAATATCAGGATAAATTGGGTGTGGGATAGGGATTTGGTTTATGTTGGGCAATAGATAGGGTAGGGTTGGGTTTGGCTGCGGTTTGGCTGGGATGAGTTTATATTTGAGTGTAGGTTTGGCTGGGGTTGGGCTGAATTGGGCCAAGGTGGATGTGGTTGGGTTTGGGTGGGGTGGGGTCTATTGTGTTCCCTGTGGTTCTGTTTGATGTTCATTTGGGTTGAGTTATGTTGGGTTCAGGTTAGCTTTAGATTTGTGTTTTGTTTGGCTAGAGTTGGGTTGGGTTGGATCAGGTTACTTGTGGTTAGATTGGATTGGTTTACAAATAGTTTAGTTTGGGGTTTGATTTGATCTGGTTAGGTTAGGTTTAGTTGGGTCATGCATTTTTTGTAGTAAAAAGCCATATCCTCTGCAAGTGATCCCCGTGTGCTATTTCCAAGGTTTGCACCACGACTAATGTTGCTAGCATCATAACTTTGGGTGTGATCACTGGCTACATACGGGTTTATGGCTAGCACCCTTGAACAATGACATTGACAAATTGGGAAACTGCCAACATAGGGCTGGATAGCTTGGTTGGTGGAGCACTGGTACAGTAATCTTTAGGTCACAGGTTCAAATGCTATTCAGTTAATTTCTTTGTTCGACTTTATGATTAAAACTAATGCACCTGGTCAGTTTCTGTTCAATTTAGACTAGCTCCCTAATCTCGTTTTGTTCCCCATTCAATCACAGAGCCTGACAAAAGCACCACATGATTACCCAGATAAGAAGAGCTTACCTCACGTCCACGTAGCTCTCTGGCTGAATAGCCAGGGAGGTAAGAAGGTTGGAGCAGGGGATACCATCTCCTATGTAGTGTGTGAGGTAAGTAGATATCACATGGAATGTGGGTAGAAACTGCTGGAGCCAGGATGTCAAGGTGCTTGTGTCCTTGAGCTAGACACTTTACTTCATGAATATTCACATACAGGCAGGCAACTATTACTCAGATCCGTTGATTTCCTCGTTGTATTTCTCAGGAATGCCATTACAAATTGAGAAACACTGTAGAGTCCTGTGTGGTTTGGAATGTCCTCATGTTTTCTAAATTCCAAGTTGCATGCCTGCACATATTTACAAAGATTTTCAGTTGCTGTGTGCCGTCAAAGCTCTGTAATGTTGCAGGTTTTTTAGTCATGAAATCTGTGATACAAGTACAGTCGGCTCCCGTTATAGCGAAAACATCTAGAACGAAATTCCGGTTATTACAAACAAATGTCTTCGGTCCCGACAAAATTGTGCACATGTCTATGGGGAAAATTTCGCTTAAGACAAAAACGGACAGTACGAAATTCCTGTTACAGCGAAAGGTTTTGGCGAACCGGTTGCGTAAAAATGCATTGTTAGCAACCCATTTATAACGAAAGATAATCCTGGCTCACGGCTTTTTCGTTCAATTTGAAAGCAGTATTAGTCATCAGTAGGTGTCTTTGTGTGAGTAGTTTCATGTTGCTGACGTAGATGCATTCAGATGGAGGTGCTAATCCGTGCCGGCACACGGTAATTAATCTCGCGCTGCGGTTAGGCCTGTCATCATAGTATTCAATGACGTGTGCCAGTCACCCACACCACTTGCACATCCCCATTGTGCCAAGACGTACTTCGACCTTTGTGAATGGGCTTTCCCAATTTGTACCTAAAATTGAGAGCTGGTGCAGTTGAAGAAGAACCAGAAGACAAGGAGGAGCCGCCAACGGAGGAACAACGGCCAAGAAATGTCACCGACTGCCTGAGCCTAATGCACCAGATTCGGGACTATCTCTGCAGCCAGCCCGACATGGACGACGATGTCTACGATCACGCCGCTGCAATCCTGCAGTACCTCTCCAGTAGGCAGCAAGACAAGATGTCACAGCGGAAGATAACCTTATTACCCAGAGCAAATAAAATTAATCCCCTCCCCCAAATAGAACTTCTTATAAAAAAAATTGGAAATTAAATAAAACACCATTTACCCCCTCTCCCACCCCGGCACAAATTTTATTTAAAAAAATGTAAGGTTAAACAAAAATTACAAAGCACCCCATTACAAATCCAAAATAAAATAAACAATCTTAGACCATCCCAAAATTCTCCAAAACGTAATTTCAATCAAAATTATTCACGACCCCTGTGTAAATTGCTCCCCCCCCTCCCCCCCATTTTTTTTTATAATCAAAACTTTGCCAAAATTGTCCAAACTTATTCATTTGAGCACCAGCACAAAAACGTTAAGCTATTTCGTAACTTTAAAAAGGAACCTGCTGGGACGATTAGAAACTGATCACCATCAACGCTGGACATTATGCATACGGGTAAATGAACTGGTACACGCCAATGAGCTCGTCCGCTTGCATGACGTTAAAATCGTCAGACGTTAATATCCAACCACAATGTAAGATTATGACATCTTCACTCATTAGGACACCGACTCATGAGGGCGCTCTACCAATTTGTAAAATCTACTCGGATCACGGACGGACCGGAAAATCTGGAACGTAAATGACAAAGGTCTCTCGGCCATGTGCTTGAAAACGCTTATCACATTGTCACATTGAAATCTGCAAGACGAAAGGACAATACAAATTAAATGTCTCTCCATGACACAATTTGTGCTGGAGAGATTACTTACTTTGAACATCGAAGTGATACAGGTCATCTGCTGTTGACTTCTTCCCCATCGATGATCAAGCAATAAAACGTCAGATCTTCGTAATGTTTATTTTATTTTCGTTTCGTACATTTAATATTTTTTTTCACTTTACACAATGATACATTTTAAACATTATTTTTTATTTGACAAATCACATCATAGAGAGCATGTTCTTAATTGTTTTCAAACAGAAAAAAAATCATTGGGTACATTACATGTACGTACGTTCACAAGCGTGCACAATAGGGCCAATTCAAGGTGAACAATGGACGGGAAACATTGTATCGGATATTACGAATTTCGGATACAACGAACATTTTGACCGGTCCCGTGGATTTCGCTATAACGGGAGCCGACTGTATTTGCTTGACGAAACTGTATAGTTACCTATACTTTTGCACAAACATTTGCACAAACATTTGTGATAAGATATGGTGCATAGTACACTGTGAGTTAGAAGTCATTTTAAATACTGAGTACAATGGCTTTTTAATGATGTGATTGTATCTCAATTCATGTGGCAGCTGTTTAACATGTATTTATGCAATGTAGGCATTGAGGCTGTTTGTCATACTATGCATGTGTGTTAGAACAGCTGTAGTTACTTTTCTTGTCTTGTATATAGGAGTACCAAATTTTAACAATTAAAAAATTTTTAAACAGTAAAACTTGTCCACAAGTCAGACTTTTGATGCTCCAAATCGTCTGTCTCTTAAAAGTTTATAAAAACTTATATATTTGAATACAGATATGTTGCATCGTGATACTATGCTGTGGCATCCTTTATTGTGATTATCACATATTGTGGTGTATTATATAGGCCCTATTAATGAAATAGAATTAAAGGGGAATCGTAATACAAATCTTACCATAATTATTGCCCGTTCCTCCAGGATGGTTCTGTTCTGCCAGCCAGCCAGCGTGCATACCATCCAGGTGAAGTCCAGAAACAGGACCATTTAAAGATAGACACCAAGTACTACCTGTCACAGCAGGTGCATCCAGTGGTCTCCAGACTGTGCGATCCTATTGAGGGTACTGATGCTGCTCGTATTGCTGAATGCCTTGGTAAACACAACTATTTCAAATTCTACCCATTCGGTTAAGATTATTGGGTTTTGTTTGTTTGTTTGTTTGTTTGTTGGGGTGTTTGTTTGTTTGTTTGGGGTCTTTTGGGGTCTTTTTGGTTGTTATATTAAGACTTAATGCCAGTGGGGCAATGCAGAAGTCTCCAAATATTAGGTTGTCAACATGGACACTTTCATGTTGGCAAAAAGTCCATCAAAGGGATTTTGTGGACCTTTCCAATGTTCTACACACAGGCATGTGAAATTTCCACGGATTTCCGCATTTTTTATTTTCCCACTTCTTGTTTTTGTGTGACTGCAGTTTTTTTTTTCAAGTCCCCAGGCATAATTCCTGTAACAACTTCCCGTAATATTGCGTGCGGCGCGGTTAGGACTCAAGATGCGCATGAGTAACGGGCTATATACCTCAGCACAGTATGCATTTTCTTACAAGGTGTGACTAGACTAGCCAGCCTTTATCGCGGAACTGCCGGCCACACATATCATCCATACATAGCCTTGGAGTTGACGCTGAAACCAGAGTATTCCACTGTGAGAGATTGTTCATTCGAGTCAGACAGCACCGTGAGGAAAACAAAACGCCACCATACTGCCAAATTTGACTTGCCAAAAACGCCTTTCTACAACATTTGGACGTCAAAAATTATCCAATATCACCTCTTTCGTATTGAGATTGAGAGCGCATGAAACATTGCTATTATTAAAAACTATTTTTTTTTGTTTTACAACATTGATTGCCATTGTTCATGCTATTATACAAAGCCACTGCCCCATGACAGATTATCTAAACATCAGCTACTACTATGCCTCCTCCAAGGGGGCCTTCGTTATAGAATTGATAGCATGCTCGGAGTGGTCAATAGGTGCTCAAGTGTTTTTATATGTGATTATTGATGCCTTCAATTATTTTCGTGTCTGATGTGTATGACAGGATTAGACCCTGCAGGTTACCGGCATGCAGTGCGCCAGCATGACGATGAAGCAGACGCCATGTTGGGTGGTGATGCAGCAATGGCTGACGAGGAGAAATACAAAAATGCTGACCGCTTCAAGTTTGCCTGTCCGAACACAAAGTGTGGCAGAGAGAATATCATTGATAGTGTCTTCACTGGCAGTGTGAGTATGGAATGAGTTGTGTTCACAATACATTATAGGAAAGTAATCAAGTCATCTCAAGTCAATCACATAGCAAGCCAATCATAAGTCAGTCACAGGTCACATAGCAAGCCAATCATAAGTCAGTCACAAGTCACATAGCAAGCCAATCATAAGTCAGTCACAGGTCACATACCGGTAGCAAGCCAATCATAAGTCAGTCACAGGTCACTTAGCAAGCCAATCATAAGTCAGTCACAGGTCACATAGCAAGCCAATCATAAGTCAGTCACAGGTCACATAGCAAGCCAATCATAAGTCAGTCACAGGTCACATAGCAAGCCAATCATGAGTCAGTCACAGGTCACATAGCAAGCCAATCATAAGTCAGTCACAGGTCACATACCGGTAGCAAGCCAGTCAGAAGTCAGTCACAGGTCACATAGCAAGCCAATCATGAGTCAGTCACAGGTCACATAGCAAGCCAATCATAAGTCAGCCACAGGTCACATACCAGTAGCAAGCCAATCATAATCAGTCACAGATCACATAGCAAGCCAATCATAAGTCAGTCACAGGTCACATAGCAAGCCAATCATAAGTCAGTCACAGGTCACATACCGGTAGCAAGCAAATCATAAGTCAGTCACAGGTCACATACCGGTAGCAAGCCAATCATAAGTCAGTCACAGGTCACATACCGGTAGCAAGCCAATCAAAAGTCAGTCACAGGTCACATACCGGTAGCAAGCCAATCATAAGTCAGTCACAGGTCACATAGCAAGCCAATCATAAGTCAGTCACAGGTCACATAGCAAGCCAATCATAAGTCAGTCACAGGTCACATAGCAAGCCAATCATAAGTCAGTCACAGGTCACATAGCAAGCCAATCATAAGTCAGTCACAGGTCACATCGCAAGCCAATCATAAGTCAGTCACATGTCACATACTGGTAGCAAGCCAATCATAAGTCAGTCACAGGTCACATAGCAAGCCAATCATAAGTCAGTCACAGGTCACATAGCAAGCCAATCATAAGTCAGTCACAGGTCACATAGCAAGCCAATCATAAGTCAGTCACAGGTCACATACCGGTAGCAAGCCAGTCAGAAGTCAGTCACAGGTCAAACTTCAAGCTAATAGGAACGCATGCTTCAAATTTCCATTCACAAGTCAAGGGCCAGCTATTCAAATGAACTATGGCTTGTCATTGCTCATTACCTGTTACATGGGATTGACTTGTGATTGGCCTTGCAAAACCTCTGCCTATAGACCTAAATTTGAATAGTTGAATCACAATATTTTCCTTGTATTACCACTCATGTAGCTGTTCTTGTTCATTAGGTCATACATCTTGATGTAGTTAGAAGATTCAGCATTTTAAGGTACTATTAAGGATGTTTTTGAAGGGTTAAGTTAATTTGGAAAGTAAATAATCAGTCCAAAGTTGTAACATCTGGAAGGTTTGGGAATTCGATATGGTAACTTTGGGGTCCAGAAGGCTGTTGACTGACATTCCAACATGCTCAGTTCGATTGTATGGACTCAGTCACAGTGTATTACACATTGCAGTTACGATATTTAACCAAACAGCTGTTGCAATTTGTGATACCTACCATGTACATAATTCTAAATGTTGGCGTATGCTGTGGTATTCCATATCAATTATCAGCCTAAATGCAGATTGTTTGATATATTACTTTGTATTTTACAGTGTAGAGTGTGTTAACCTTTTGGTGCACAGGCAGTCGCTGACTACCTATAATCTGTTCATCTAATCTGAATAATTTGAGCACCAAAGGGTTTAATATGCCACTGTTTAATTTTACCTATAATTTTTCGCCATTGTTTTCACAGGACAAGTTGATATCATGCAGCCTCGCCCAGTGTAGTAACCCTGAATGCAAGACTGTTCTTTCCAATCACTGGTCTCTCATGTGTAATCGTCTGAATCTGCTCATCAGGGGATATATACAGAAGTACTATGCTGTAAGCAAAAGTTGAAAACGATGATACTGTGTGTGTCTTGCTGTCAGTATTCACAAATCTAAGCACATGCTTGAATGCCCCTGTTGGACAACAACTCAATCTTTGCTGTAATTGTTTAAAATAGTAGATGCCACAACGCTGCAGCTATAACCAAGGTGTCACAGTGAAGTGTGATCATGTGCTGGATTTGTGTGTAAATTGAGACCAAAAATTGAATGCTATATAGAATCAATCAGCTGGTTTTCATTAAACCACTTGTCAATGTGCATGCCAACATTGGTATTAAATGACATACTTTCCTTGTTATATTTAACAATTAATATTGCTTCTGTGAACATGTATTGAAAACAAATTAGGATAAATGCAAAAGAAAATTCCTTTGTTTTTCAAAACCTCATCAACAGCAGACATAGATTAGATTTTGAATTGGCTCTGATAGAAAAAACAAAAACCCAAAGGTTTAAGAGCCATTTTCTCAATTTTAACACAACATTTCCTCAAGTTTGAAAATTAGGGTTTTCAGAGACTACATTACATTTTGGCTGGTGTCAGAAATATCTGTATTAACACTAACTTCTACAAACTGGAAATTAACCCTAACTCCCTAGCATAATTTACTTGGAACCATACCCATTCTGACAAATTCCAACACCAGAGTTGCAGACTCGAGTCATGTGACTTGGACTCGAGTCGCTATTTTTGTGACTTGACTTGTAAATACCAGCTTTGACTTGTGACTTGACTTGGACTTGCAAACAATGACTTGTGACTTGACTTGGGATTGCAAAAAATGACTTGTTACCAACCCAAGTCAGACGCTAAATCCAGTAAAATGAATAGTTCCCACTAGTTTCAAAAGTTTTCAATAAGACTGTCACAACAAACTACACAGTTTTCAATGACCAAGTCTCTTGCGTAATGTAATGGTTGAACAAACTTTGAAAGGAACCTTTCTTGAAAAGAAAGCAGGCCTTTGTCAATTGCATGTAAAATACCGGATAGCCTAACCCACTGGTAGGCGTTTAGTATACATGAAAATTGAACAATAAAGTGTTAGTATACTACATGTAATCGAGTGAGTGAAGTCTTTTTTTCATGTCATCTCAACATTTATTTCTACAATGTAAAGTCAATTTATTAAAGTATACAAAGGGCTAATATCCGACAGATATGTGATAAACTACAAGAATAGTAATAGCAACATATTGAAAAAGGGGAATTAAGGAGGCATGTTCAAAATAACTCGTAAGTTGACGCCAGGTTCTTTTAGCTTATTACAGCTGGACAAAATAATGTGCAACTTGACGTGTTCTTGGACAAAGATACTTGTGACTTGACTTGTGTTTAGACCAAATGACTTGTGACTTGACTTGTGACTGGACCTAATGACTTGTGACTTGACTTGTGACTGGACCTAATGACTTGTGACTTGACTTGGACTTGCAAACAATGACTTGTGACTTGACTTAGACTTGCAAAAAATGACTTGCTGCCACCTCTGTCCAACACCCACATGGAAAATCGTACACACACACTGTTGGACTTAGATTCTGGAGGTATGCCAACCCCAGTGTAAAAGACCATCAGTTTAGGGGTACTGTACCCATTCTAACAGATTTCAACAACACCTGCTGTTGGACTTTGATGGGTTGAGTTCTGTTTATACAGATGTTCTCGCAAAGGTCTCTTGTTATTTCGCATGATACTTCTATGTCTTTTTATTATTCATTTATGACATTACAATGTTTACAATTTTGATGACAATTATTCTCATTCCAGGGGTGGATGGTGTGTGAAGACACTTCCTGTGCACACAAGACCAGAAGAACTCCCCTGAATCCTCAACGGCAAGGCTTTATGTGCCCAGTATGCCAAAGGGCTATTCTGAAACCAGAGGTAAGAATTTGATGTTATTGTGAGGATATCGGCATTCTTTAAAGTATTCCTGTAAGATTTTACAAATTAAAAAAAAAATATTCTGTTGTAAAACATCATTTTCTTTGTATTGAAGTGAAATGTAAGTACATGTATAAACATACAAGATCAAATTGCCATGGAAATTGTAGTATAGGGAATAAGACACCCGTATTTCATTCCATTACTAAAGTATTCTTATCCCCTTAAATGCATGAATCTATTTACAACAGTATCTAAACAGTCTCCAATTGTTTTCGTGAAATTAACCCTAACCCCCTAGGCCCTCTTGGCTAGGAACCATCCTCAATCCTGCAAAATCCTCAAATTGCCATCAAAATGGGTTGAGGCAGAATGCCACTGACATCCAGAAGCACAATGCAGGGCTCAATTATTCATGGCTTTACATAAACAATGCTGGGTACAGCCTGCGAACTCGACACAATGCATTCAAATTCAACTGACACTTTTTGCCATTCAGCCTCAATCCTCCAAAATCCTACAAAACTGTCTGAATGATTATGAAAGATGGAGGAAGGTTAGGGTTAATTTACCTTTTTGTAATAACTTTTCATGCCAGAATATTACACCGGATAAACATGACCTCTTGCTTTGAACCATGTCTCGGCTTCAAGTTTAGTTTCGGACAAAACTTTCCAGGGCATAGCCAATAATGAATGTAGTTACGCAAGAAAACTGAGACTGAATCATACAAGAACTTAATCCGGTTTCTGTATTCAATGAAATGTTTCCTGTGCTAAGCATGTGGGATAATATCCTTAGAATGAAATGAAGTTGTCCAATTGTATTTCCAAATTTTTCTAGTGATATTTTTTTTTGCTATTCCAGTACACAGACAAGGACCTGTATTATCAGATGTCGTTCCTCCAGTCCATCTTTGATGTCGACAGAGCCATGAAAAGACTCACAGAGAATGAAAAGAGTAAGCCACATTTGTTTCATCCATGTTTCGTAGAAATGATTTTGGAATTTGTCCACATTTCTGATGACATTTCATCCTTGTCCTAGATCCGAATCTATCATCCATGTAGAAAATTTGGCAGTTTTGTAGATTTTTTTTGCAGATGAAATCATAGCAGGTTGAATTTTCCATCAGAAGAATCAGTGATATTGTACCTTTCTACTTAAGGCCACATTTTTTAAACTTGAAATGAAGTTTTATTTCAACTGTTAGACTTTCATTTATTTCTTCAATTTTGTCAATTGACCAAAGTAGATTGACTGCTGTAGAATTTAGCTTTGATCTGTGACCTTCTGAACACCACTGGTGCCGTACCAACCAAGCTATCCAGCCCTATGATGTGGCTCTCCCAAGAGGTTAACCAGTTTGTGTCAGGACGTGATAACACGCACTGGCTGTTTTTATACACAGGCACGACTGACGGGTTAAGATGTCAAGATTGTCTTGTGTACACACACACAAAGCCTGTGGAGGCGGACCATGTGTTGATCTTGAATTGGCCGTTGTGCACAGTCTATTATTGTACAGTTTAAGCTCCATTGCACACCTGGGAGTATTGAAATGTATGAGGTTTCGGCAAGAAGTTTCGTACAAATTACTGTTGAAATTACTCTTGCGAATCAGTAGTTATGGGTTTTGGCTGTATATCAGAAATTGGCTAGAAAAGTTTGCCTTGTGCAAAATTTTCAGCAAATATAATCCCGGCGCAATGTGGTTAATAACTTAGTTAGTTGCGTGTTATTCAGAAGCCATAAATATGTACATCTAGTCATGAGAATCACATCTAGGAAATTAAGCAATGCTTGAAACCTATTACAGAGTGGCATGAGGATCATTCATGTGTGATGTGGAAATCATCTGTTGCAACTAGATGCAAGTTGAATTAGCACTTGTGACCGCCAGAAAACTTGGCACTCTACAACCAACACAGGACCATGATTATGTTGACTGTCTCATATTTTCTATTTTTCTTTATTTCTCTACGCTCTCCAGCTTTTGCCAATATGGCCCTCAGGGACCATCTCGACAGCTACTCTCGTCTCAGGAACTTCATGGACAAGAAACTCCGGCAGAATAAGTACTCAGAGGTGGACCTAAGCAGACTGTTCTCAGGCATGAGCACGTTGGTACTTGGCCACACCATCAAGCGAGAGTAAATGAGTCAGCAACGTTCATTGATGGCCCATCTAAGTCTTGGAAAACAAACTTAGACCAGTGTAAGTCACAAGTGTGTCAGGTTAGGAGGGCAGTGAGTCAGGTACAGAGAGGAGGCTAGGCTGTGCAGAGCGCACATCATGATATTTAATTGACTCAGAATGGGTTGAAGTATTTACATGTTTCTCGTCTGCACAATGAGCTGGATTTAGCTTATTCATTGTCGCTACTAATAATAATAACGGAGTCTTATATAGCGCACGTATCTACTGACAATTAGGTTCTCAAGGCGCTGGTAATTATGTCCATTTTTAAAGACGGGTAAATGAGGTAAATGTGAAATATGAGACCCATTATGTCGCACCTTTTTACTAGGTGCTGTGGCATATTTTGCAGCCACTGCCAGAAACACGGGGCAAGCCCTTCACTTAGTGACAAGTGTCACTGGGTTCTTTAACATGCTTACACAACGCACGGGACCTACAGCTCTACGGCCCATCCAAAGGACGAAGCAGTAATGGTAAAGTGCCTTGCTCAAGAGCACATGCACCATGTTCGCCATTAGGACTTGAACCCATGTACCACAACAAACACCATAACCATTGGGCCACAGCACCCCACTGGGTAATCCTATACAATAGCATTACATGTCTCCCATCACCAGTCCACAACCAGTGTCTCAAGTGACAGTAAGTCAGTCAGTGAGATAGGTTGTAAGTCTTAAGAGGATGCTAGGCTGGCACTCTGGGACCAGCACAATTCCTGTCTGAAATGATTACTATACTAGAAACGATTGCTTTGTGTCGTAGCCTAGTTCCGTATCACTCATATGAAGCGTTGACCATACATTCTGCAATCCTGTTCTTTATCAGTTTGAATCATCATGTCTCATTCATGGCTTTGCAGGCTTAGTTAACCAGAAACACTTTTTACATTTTGACCTGTTACAGTTATATTTAGGAAACTTTCTTCTTTCTTATCCTGAAAAAACTTGAGATTCGTGAAATGGACTTGATAAAAAGATGTTGAAAGTCCCGACTCACAACTTAAAATCATGACTCATAGTTGTACTTTCCATTTCAGTTCAGACATTCGAATGGAATTAGATGGATGGAAGTATGAGGTCAAAGTATACTAAAAGGAGTTAGAATATTCTTATGCTAAACCCTCCCTCTCCCCCCCAAAAAAAACAGGGGGGGGGGGAGTAAAAATACATATATTTCACTTCCCGGTCGACTAGTCATATGGCTCTTGACATATTTTTCTTGTAATATATTTGATTATAAGGTTACTGTCTGAAATTATTAAAGAGGTTGTGGAATGCTCGAAGACATTTCCGTCATTTTTTGGGTATATGTAGCCTAAGGTGTGATGAAATAAAAACGACTATTGTTTCTGTCATGAAATGAGTTCAAAGGTTACTTTTGAGAGCTATTTTTCAGGTCCTGTTTCGACCCGAACGTGCAATTTGTGTAAAAGTCGTCGTTGCGGGCAGCAAACAAAACACAGTAAATCGTGACGTAATAAACAGGACTCGTTTATGCTACTCTGCATCGGGAGTCCTGTTAATTACGTCACGATTTACTGTGTTTTGTTTGCTGCCCGCAACGACGACTTTTACACAAATTGCACGTTCGGGTCGAAACAGCCATGACAGGACTTGAAAAACGGCTCTCAAAAGTACCTTTTGTACTCATTTTATGACAGAAACAATAGTCGTTTTTATTTCATCACACCTTGGGCTACATATATCCGAAAAATGACGGAAATGTCTTCGAGCATTCCACAACCTCTTTAAGGACAGGAGTTTCGATATTACTATGTGTCAGACATAAACTGTGTATGTCCGATATACATCAATTGGTTACTTCGGTGATTTAAAAAAAAAAAAAAATACGTCCATCTGTTTTTGCTGCAGTAGAAATCGGCTAAAAACACAATAATGGCTGACGTACTCAGACAAATAGATATTTTGTATACCTATCAATTAATTTACAGTTGCAAATAACAGCTGGCTGTTGAATATTTTTTGGAGAAAACTATATCAATAAAAGCCCGGTGTTACTTTAGTTTTAACATTTTTCCAAATTGGTATTTATCAGGCTACATAAATGCATTTTGCCCAAACTAAAGTATATTTAAACCTCATCCGTGTTTTTCTGAAATGAAATGCATCTTTTGTAGACATTATATGTTATATAGTGTCTTTATATACATATATATATATATGTATATGCATTATGGGTTATATTAATGGTATGTTAAATATGGGCAATATTATACACAAAAAATCGAGATACTGTTCGTCATACTTATCTCTTTATTTAAGAAGAAAGGAAGAAAACACTAAATGGTATATACTGGCATGAAACGCAATTTTGTGTCAAGAATCAAGTAGGTTTGAAAAAATGTATGGCAAAAAGGAATATTTATCAGTACAAAGGTGTTTTACACGTCATTAATCACAACTGTTTACTGTAAATGAAATGGTTTTTACAAGTTGGTTTTGTCATCTGATATTGTGATATAACAAACAAATTCTGATATAAAGTTTCTCAAAAATGTTTCCACTGATATTTTGAAATTTCTGAATAAGACATCTTATTAATTATTCCCTAAACCAATGATTGTACAGATTGATTCGGTTTTCTTACGGTGTACATGTATAATGTAGGCTAACCATAAAGTTTCGTTACCATATAAATGTTTTATATCCACATGTGGCTGACTCCTGCATCTTTTCTGGATCAATTTCTGGATCATTTTACTTTTGATGATTTTCCAACATCATTTTGGAAATGTTCACTCTACCAACAGCACAATACCAACAGAATTTGAGATATTCGACCGAACTGCTTGTACATGAACTTCTAACCACGGTTGCTTGCTCTTGCGTTTGTGCGCATTTTGTCGTGTAAATTTGAATTAGTTGGCGAGCTTGTCGTTTGCAAATAGCTATCGTTATTTTTAACGAAAGCTAGAGCATAGCACGCGAAATTATTTTAATACTGCAATATATTTAGTGCAAACTGTAAATTCTCTGAAATGTCTGAAAACTATTGGAAATTCGTGAAATGTTCCTTGCTTTTTACTGACTACATAGGTTGCTTCTGCTATGATTACATTTAAGGAAAATGATTTGAAGGAAAACAAGCTCGTGGTGGACTGTACAGTGTGAGTAAAAAAAAAAAAACGAAATCCAAATGTCGGGACTATTGTTTTAGTGAAGTTCTACATGTAGCACTTCCAAAATCTAGAATATTAAAGCCCCATTCATAAGCTTCATTTTAGTACAAGAATCATTCAAATCACTCATGTACTTTTAAAGTTACGGATTTTATACACAACCACCGTTTTAAGGTTCTGCCAATTACCCCATGGATCACAAAAAAGTTCAGTATTCTTTCAGCAAAACGAAAACAATAGGGATGTGTGTGAATTGTTTTCGTTCTTTCGAGCTGTATACTCCCCAGGGAGCTGAGATGGTATTTGGAATGTTTGATTGGCCCAATGATCAGGGGTAATAATAATGTAAAGCACGCTGATATAAAGTAAAAAGCGCTAACAGTGACGGAGACATCCAACGATTTCTTCATCTAAAGAAACTAGAATATTTTCTTACATAAAACCTATTTTGAGGCCACGTAGAGCCTAATAGAAATAATCGTCTCTGATATAAATGACATTGTGATGACGTCATCCAGCTTTTTCTTTGGGAGTGGGGATGGAGGTTTTCTATTTTGTAGTCCATAGACTTTGTTCATCTGGATCTGAATAGTATAGTTGGCTAAATAGTTTACTATTTCCCCGCGTCTTCGTACGCGCGCGTGACGCGCAAACTAGGAAGGTACTATCACTGCCCAGGGTCGCAGCCTTAGATTTGTTCCAGTACTGCGTTATCTCTTTACCAACAAAGCATGCGACTTATGTGCCTACCGTGGAGATCTCCGGTGTGGACAGTTGTGCCAGTCTATTATACAAATATTGAATGCGTCGAGTGGTGTAGTAAAACCACTGATCTCTATATAAAGACTGGATAGCGGATATGCATACAACATTCACACAGTAGACTTTGCATATTGACCAATTCGCCCCCGGTCTCACGAAGATGGCCGCGTATAATACGAACGCTCTACGCGTAAATACGCGCGCGTTGTATAACAGTTGACGCGCATTTTGGTCACGTACACCTATTGTGAAGGGACACATTTCCGTAGTGATTATTTTTTCAAAAACGAAGAAAAAGTGATCTGCGGCATTATTATAAAAGTGACCACGACGTTAGAAAAATTGTAGTAAACCGTGGTCAGTGGTGGTGGTCAAAATATAAGTCAAGTGAACCGCGACGTTACAAAAGAAATCATGCTGTCTATAAAGACGGCAACTTGTCCTTTGTAGATCACCAGCCGGTCTCACCAATATGGCGTCAAATTCATTCATTGTGCGGCTCTTTATTAGCTGTCCAGTCTTTATATATCAGTGAGTAAAACTAGCCTCCCGAGGTGATCCATGGACATTGGGCAAGTTCGCGCAAGGACTATAACCATTGGTCGACTAACGCTTGCCCGAACTCTGTCTAGTCGACGATGGTTAACTACGCTAGTTGACTTAGGCCAAGTTCGCGCAAGGACTATAGTTGACCAATGGTTAACTAACGTTTGCCCGAACTCTGTCTAGTCGACGGTGGTTGACTACGCTAGTCGACTATTTGGAACCAGCCTACTGGGGTTGCTTGCTTCGCTGGTAACCAATAGCCGCGCGCGTTCATAACGTACAGCAGGAAGCCAGGATCCAGACGTTTTGCAATATGGGCCAAGTTCGGGCAAGGACCATTAGTCGACTAGTGGTTGATTTGTGACGTACCTCACGCCTGCGCACTAATAGCAACGTGCGAACATCTCTAGTCAAACGCTGGTCAAAATGTCATCGCAAAACTTCTGGATCCTGGCTCTCTGCTAGCGTTATGGATGCGCGTGGCTATTGGTTACCAGCGAAGCAACCAACCCCAGTAGGCTGGTTCCAAATAGTCGACTAGCGTAGTCAACCACCGTCGACTAGACAGAGTTCGGGCAAACGTTAGTTAACCATTGGTCAACTATAGTCCTTGCGCGAACTTGGCCGACATGTTGACCAGCGTTCGACTAGAGACGTTCGCACTTTGCTATTAGTGCGCAGGCGTAAGGTACGTCACAAATCAACCACTAGTCGACTAATGGTCCTTGCCCGAACTTGGCCATAATATTTGGAACCAACCTACTGGGGTTGGTTGCTTCGCTGGTAACCATAGCCGCGCGCGTTCATAACGTACAGCAGGGAGCCAGGATCCAGACGTTTTGCAATGACATTTTGACCAGCGTTCGACTAGAGACGTTCGCACTTTGCTATTAGTGCGCAGGCGTAAGGTACGTCACAAATCAACCACTAGTCGACTAATGGTCCTTGCCCGAACTTGGCCTAGTCCCGAGGCGAAGCCGGAGGGAAAATAGAATGTTCCATGGATCACCGAGGGAGGCTAGTTTTACTTCACCACGAGATAAAGCAATCAATATTTGTTTTATAACACTTCACCCACAGATTCTGCTTGGTTTTAATATTTTAAATTATTTAAATCTGAACACAGTTGAAATAAACTTCAATTTCAATACAAAATTGGTGGAAAATGTATTTCTCTCTTCCAAACTACCCCTTGGCGAAATCTTTCAACCCAACTCTGTGGCGCGCTCTCTTTGGAATAAAACGCGCAACGCGCAACGCGCACACCAGCATGCATTTGCACACAAATACCGCGCCGTGGAAATAGTACTTTGGTTGCTAATGGTATAGTACTTTGGTTGCTACGGGTATAGTACTTTTGGCCGTGCACAGAAAGATAGCAAAAATAGAAAGTATCATGTGACTCGCTCTCGGCCAATCAAGACAAAGAATCTGTGGATGAGGTGTTATAATACGGCATACATCAAAATTGCGTCCGGTGGTGGTCGTTTTGCGATTTAAACCAAGGAGGAACTGGGTGCAATTTTACAAATACAATGTAGTAATAAATCCAGTGTTTTGTGTGAATGTTAAAGTTATTAAATGACACAAAGTTAACTTTCTATTCTGTTTGTCTCCTTAAATAATGTTTCACTTTATCCAAATACTGCACGATCAAAAAACGTAATGGAATGGTCCAATGAAATACCGCAGCTGCCTGATGAACATTAACAAGATATAAGTAAACAAATACAACATGGTTTTGCGCGGAAATAGTGAAAACAATGATGAACCCCTTGTGTTGGATGAACCCTCAGTGTTGGATGGATTCGTACCATGTTTATTAGCTCCCCTCGGTATTGAAAGTTGACAAACAAGTGTTCGCCTCGGGAACTAGTTTATCAACTTCCAATTAAATACCCCGGGGAGCGAATATCGACTGTCCACCCTCAAACCATGTTATATTTGTATACTATGTTTCATCGATAATTAATTGTTCCTACCTGCCAACAAATTCGCCCGGTTTATAATGTACTTATCATTTCCTGTGACATACTGGATTGGACTTTGTTCGAAAACAAAGGTTACCGGTAACAAGGGCAGGGCTGATCTTTGATGGTGTCCCAAAATAGTTCGCATAGGCTCGCTCGGTGCAACAGGTTTACTGTTACTGGCATATTGAGCTCGTCTACTCTTGATGAAAGAATAACCTGCATTTTGTGAGTATTGATACAATTTACATATATAATCTTTCTTTATCTTTCTCTCAGTTACATTAGAATCACACTCTTGGAAAAAATGGTCCGGTTAACTTATTCTTTATGACGGGACTTGCGGTTTTGCCGAAGTCAATTGAGTGTGATCGTCCGCCACTGACAGGGTTTACGCACAAAACCATGAGCCAGTGAGGCTTTTCATAGAAAGGTGGCCGAACCTTATTTTCGGAAAGTGTGCTGGTAATGTCAGCACCCTTCTTTAGATTTTGAGCACGTCTGTTGCTTCAAACGAACAAAATGCACACATTACAAATGATGGACTATAATTAACCTTTAACATTATTTTGAAGAAAAAAGGAACAGTTGCATTTCGTTTCAGGTGCCTTAAAAATAACTCGGTATTAAAAAGAAATTTCGATTAGCTTTAACAGGGCAATCCTTTAAACAATTCACAACATAAAAAAAAGAACAAAAACTCGAAGATATACCTCCTTCCCACTTTTGTGAGAGGGAGATGCAATCTTTAAATGTTTCTCCGGAAACTTCAGATTATACACCAGGAACTTCAGGGCGTGTATACGATAGAGTTCCCGGGTGGTGTTCTAGTGGCTTATAAAGTCCGCTCAGATTTTGGTGGCTTTAAAGCAGCCCAGTTGTTCACCCGTATTTGACTGTCTGATAATACCACCAAAGATTTGGCAGAACGGTCTGAGGATGAAAATAATTAGAGAAAACTTCGGATTTAAAAAAATGGTTCATTTCTATTAAAAAACAATAAAAACCCAAACCAAACCAAACCAAACCAAAGAAAACAACTCAAGGTCCCACACACAAAATCTTAAGAGTTGTCAGTTTTACATAATTAAATCGCAAGTCATGAACAAAAAAACAATTGAAAAGGCGCCACTGTGACGTTCCAACATCCAACAACAACAAACTGGATTTACTTGATTTTTCGCAGATTTGATCATACATTCCGTTTCAAGCATAGAGCTATATTAAATTACTAGAGCGCTAACTTCGTGTACAAAGTAATGCCTGCTGGGTGCATCCATGTTTGTGCACAGTTGCATATAGTGCTGTTGGAGGATGTCCACGGCAACGACGTCATCAAGATCCCAGTGTCCCCTTTTCTTGGTATTTACCGCTATTGCTCTCCCACCCGTCATTAGTGCAATATCCATAACGCTGTCAGGTTCGACTGAAATCAAAGGAAACACTTTCAGTTTAACTTTAAGTCTCTTTAAAGCCTCACTGATGGGTACGCACAAACATCTTGGCTCAGGTCCGACCAAAACCCGGGTCAACCCGACACTTTTCCGGGCCGGAATGACACTTGTCTGAGTCACTTTTTCGGGACATTTGAACTGGAAAGTGTCATTTCAATTCAATTCATTTATTGTCCATTTAAAAGATAAAAATGGAAAATTTACATGTCTAAACATTGATGAAAGCTCCAAAACAGAACACTAAAAAATACAGTTATAATGATTAAACTAGATTTACACATACAATTTTACAGCGAAAAAAATGTATTAAATATTTTAAGGTAAACCGTCAAAAATAAATAAAAGGCCTTAAAACCTTAAAACCATTCAAGTGTAACCAAACCAACAAAGAAATTAAAACCGAGTAACCAACAGATCACCCCGCCCCTATCGCTGCATTGACCCCCCTTTCCATTGATTAGAACACAAAATTATCTTACAACATTTTAAACTGTATAGAGACTGATGAAAGATAAGTTAAAAACACATTAAGAACCAATCAAAAACACCACATTCGTGGTTTCAAATGAAATGAGGAGAAAAACAAGTATATCGGACGCGAAAATAAGTAACAAATCACTATGGAAAATATCAAAATCTTGAAAGTGAAACAATTGAATATAAAACAGAGCTAAGGAGTAACGTCAACAGAAATTACAAATACAATATGGGAAAAATCAACAACAAATCAAAGCAAAACAATCGAATGGTACAACAAGACTATGGGTAAACAAAAAATACAATGTGACTTGCTATTCAGATGTCAACTTGGCTCGCCAGCAGACGTTCCGGCAGGAGAGCAGATCGACGAGCAGAGAAGGAGAACAAGATGACAGGAATACAGTTCGACGATCAGGAACAGGTGACGAACGGGAAAGAAGAGCTGGATGAGATGGTGGTCGGCGATTAGGAACAGTTCAAGAAAAGGAAAGAAGAGCTGGGCGAAACGGTGTGAATGTGGGCACTGGTGTGTGTGAAGCAGGAACACTCACAGTTCAGAGGACGCAGGAAACACTTCAGCCAGACTCAGGAAGAGCGGGGCGAAGGTAGCTATAAGCTGGAAAAGTTTGAAGAAGGTGGCTGGATGGACGCAGATTGAAGATGGCGGCGAGAAGCAGGAAAATAGAGAAGTCGCCAAGGAAAATATGAAGATGCTGGAACAGTTTGAAGATGTTGGCTGGACCAGGCGCAGGAAAAGTGGAGATACGGATGCTAGAAGACAGGACACCGGACAGGCAAACGACAAAAACTTGTAGGGGGTATCAGGCAGTTTATACCTGACGTACAATGCAGGGATGGACGAAATGAAGAAAGTTCTTGCCAGGATGACGACGACGACTGCATGGATGTGGGAAACAGATGTTCTGTTTCGTCTCTTCAGCAGCAAAAAGTTCCACTCACACAGAGTTACTGAATATAGGGGCTAGAAGATGAAGATGAAGATATGGAGACAGACGTGGAAGTGACGATGCCTTGGGCAGGTGAAAAACCGCTGCTACCAATTGTAACACAAGTATTTTGTTCATAGGTGGTTGACTACCAGTCCTAGAGTCTTGGTTACAGCATGGAGGTATAGACCGCTTGCAGATGCGTTCGATAATCGACGCGCGAAGGCGCGCGACGCCATGTTGTGGGACAGGCGTATATCTATCCATGCACATTTTGTCCCATAACATGGCGTCGTGCACCTTCGCGCGTCAATTATCGATCGCGTCTGCAAGCGGTCTATAGAATGATATGTCTCCTGGTAGCACGTATAGCCCGAGCGAAGATTAAGTTGAAGACGGAGAAGAAACTTTCACTGAAGGAATAAAACTCGTGACAAGGATTAGAATTTATAGGGTCAGGTGTGTTTATTGAGAGCACCGACTAAAATCGCTTGACAGAGAGAGAGACAGTGAAAGGAGAAAGTGAGGACTGAGGGGGAGAGGGGCTGATTAAATACAGGAATGGAACATAATGGATTGTGGGTAACTGTAAGTGAATTAAACCAAGGACAGCAAATACTAAGAATCTAGCATGTGGTTTTATAGGTCTACGACCGAGCCCAGTGTGACCACACAAATGGAGACAGGGTGTCTCTGTGGACCACAAAGTTATTTGAAATAATCTTAAAGATGTCAACGGGTAATAAGTGGGGATAATGTAATTAAATTTAATTGAGATTCTAAATCTGGGCTAACATTGATATTTCCAACGTGTAAATTGTAATTATAACGTCCATACTCCTTTCATTTCCAACTTGCTCATAATATGAAATGTGATACTGCACATTGGCGGGATAAGATTGTAACATTTTGACTTCGTGTTTTCGTAACTCACGGCGTGACAAATTGATTTTGTTTTCACCCCAGACACCGCATTAAAAAAACCCGCTAATGTAACGAACAGGCGGGCACCTGACTATTCTCATTTGCATACGTATTCAAAAATGTTGCCAATTATTTTTATGATCCAATACAGGGTTAGAGAGCAGTAGTAGTGGACGTGTACTGCTCGACACCCTCGGGCGAGTTTGTTCACATGCATTGTGCTACCGCAAACCTCACTAATTATTTACACTACCGCGGCCATGCAAAGTTTCAAATCATAGCCAGTAGAGCCTGAAAGTTGACCCCTGGTGGCGCGCTTCCGGATCCCTCGAATAGCAGGTGAGAGGGCAACCCCGAGTAAAATGCCTGTGGAAGGGTCGCGGAGGGGTCCGAAAGCTCAACGACAAAATGGCGTACATTCTGGCTCCATAAGAGCCTGAAAATAAAATGTCACGCGGCGAGCTTCCGGCCCCCTCGTGCAACCCGCCTACGGGCATTTTACACTAGGTCGCCCTTTTTCTGGCTTCAATTTTTGACAGAAGGATTTCTAACCATAATGATCCCAAGAAACATTCTTTCTGGAAATTTATCTTGGTTTTCCTCAAGAAAAAAATGACGAGAAATTACTTGGATATACGTAAAAACGAACTTTCGACCTTTCACATCCGGCATTTTCGTTCCTAGGTCTCCTTGTTCGTTCACGTTTGTTTTCACACCACCAACCCCACCTATTGATTTTCGGAGGCCAAGCGTCCGGAGAAGAAACCTGCCTACATTTCAAAATCTGTTGCTGATGACCCGCCCTCCCCCGCAAATTCCTGGATCCGCCCCTGACATTGTACCCTGTGGAACAAAAGATTGTATACATCTCCACAGAGCAATTTCTACAGATGAATTGTCTCCACAAGGTTATCACGAAAAAGATATGTGTTATTTGCTCAAAATTTAGGAATTTCCAAGGTGTGTTGATGTGTTGCAAATCGAAGTATTTTTTGTAAGGGATATTAAGTCAGAATTTCAGCCCAGGAAATTAATTATGGTTAAAATAGGAGCATTTTTAAAGTATACTTTCAAACTCGAAAACTTTAGTACACGAGAACGAAGAAATGACTCCACAAGGATACAAATTATCTGTGTGTTCACGAATTGCTCATGCAGATAATCTGCTATATGGTGATCGACTGCGTAGCGAAGCGGGCGACTCCTCCCGCCAGGTGAGCGGCCGAGGCCAAGGCTCGTATATATAAATCCATTCCTACTTTCTTCCAGGCTACTGCATGAGGGTCCGTACGATGTCTCCAAAAACTGTTACCATTCTCCTACTGATAACATCTTGCATGTTGATGCCACCCGTCTACAGCACCATTGGGAAGGATCAGATCCCAGATCCCAAGACGTACAAGTTTCTGTACTTCGTCTCCATGGCGGGTGGCAGTCATTATTCATCGCTGTCCATGTCTGCTAAGGAGCTTGTGAGACAGGGTCACAAGGTGGTCTCGCTGTTCAGCAGCTCCAACCCACGACAGATGCAAATGGCCGACGCCGAAATCTTCACCACGGTGGTATACAACTCGACCATCACGCCGCATCAACGGGCCGACGTCATGGCCAATCTAGGCAAGTTGTTCACCACGGGCGTCCTGAGGACCTTCTGGGGTCCGGTTATCGCAGTCGTCAGGGGCGACTTCCTCGATGCAAGGGCGGATCCAGAACACAATTTTGGAGGGGGCCAAAAAAAATTTGGTCCCCTAAAAAAGTGGGTCACAAAAATTTTTTGGATTCTAGATGCTCTGTGGTGCGATCTGAGGCAATTTCTGACCACTTTAACCAATGTTTTTTTTTGAGGAAAAGATGGTGGTGTACTCATTGCCTGCCTTTATTGCGATGTCACAAAAAAAAAAAAAAAATTGGTTTCGTTTTTTTTTGGGGGGGGGGGGGGGGCCATGGCCCCCTTTGGCCCCCCCCCCCTGGATCCGCCCTTGCCTCGATGACCTTGGCACCGCAGACATGTGGCTACGCGAGTGCGACGATCTGTTGGGAGACGCAGCAACCATGAAGAGGCTCCGAGAAGAGAAATTCGACATGTTGGTTGCTGATGACCACATCCCGTGTATTCCGCTCCTGGCACAGGCTCTAAACATTCCCTTCATCTACAATTGCGTTGTTCACGCAGTTCCTTCAAAGCATGGAGAGTGGTACGTATGTATTTCATATGGTAAATTGGGGCTGACACACGCAGGATCGACACATATTTACCATGTAAAAGTGCATATTACCTATAATGCATGACAATTTGTATTACCGCACTTGTAAGAGTGGAGGGAATACAGCATTGCCCCGGTGTTTCTGGCAGTGGCTGCAATATGCGCTGCAGCACCTTGTAAACCCTTATAAGGTGCTACATAATGGGTCTCATATTTCTCATAAACTTTATTTACCTTTCTTTAATAATAGACATATCTCCAGCACCTTGAGTACCTAATAGTTGGTAGAAACGTGCGCTATATAAGACTCCAATATTATTATTACTATTATTATTAAAATGTATGTACCAAACAAAAAGTCTGTCTTTTCATTTTCAAGGGCAGGGTTACCTATCGACGCATCCTACATCCCAGAGCGTGTGCTTGGACTCACGGACAAAATGACATTCTTCCAGCGAGTCCAAAACGTCCTGGCGCACACGTACTACATATACTGGTGGTATCTGACTATAGACTTCAAAGGATTCGATCAGCTGAAAATCAAGTATAACATTCGACCCGAGATCAGCACCTATGAATCTAACAAGCAAGCGTCGCTGTATATGTTCCATGGGAGCTTCGCTTTAGAGTTTCCTCGCCCCATGCAGCCAAACACTATTTACGTTCTCTTCACAGCTGGTTCGACTCCTCTTAAAAAGGTAAAGTTCAACGACTTATACTGAAGGGGTATCAAAAAAATATCTAAACTTTTCCAGAAAGCTGTGTCAGTTATTTGAAATCTTCCTCAGTCAAGACAGTGATATATCTTCTTCCTGTGGTGTTGTGATGATGACGACAAACTGCATTGCGTCTTGACGTTTGCCAAATGTCACGTTGCATGTACCTCCTCGACTTGTTATTGTTCCATCACCGATGGCACAGCGACACGATACGCATACCATGACACGTAGGTCAGTAATTACAATGATACAGCGCCCCCACACTGTGGGCTTGGATGTCATGACCTCTGCCCCGTTTACAATTCAGGTCATGACATCCGGGGTATTGTGTTCTATCGCACATTCACGCCATATGATCCGGCTTTCGATGCCGTAAAAAAATCTTCAAATTGTCACAAAATGTAACATTGCAGAACACGATTCTTGTGAGAATACACTGTTACTTTGCTCAACGATATTCAGAAGAGATTATCGGCACTAGAAACGAGGATTGCCCCGATGTGGTCGAAAAGACGCCACACGACAAGCCCGATTGCGCCTGTGATAATCAGGCAGACACATTGAGTAACATTGAGTAACGAAAGCAGTCTTATTTGTGGTGATGACTCTACATGAGAAAGGTCCGGTCTGTCTAGTAGAAACTCCCCTTGATGAGTTGACGATGTTCAGGTGATCTTTTATATTACTCGGTGTAAGCCCGATGTGACTAACTGAACTGTGGCCCATCAATCTTGAAGAGTGTCCCATTTGAGTTTATTCATCATTGCTGAGATGCTTGACTCCCTGCTGTAGTCTTGCATAACAAATCTAGCTGCTCTGTGTTGAATGCTTTCTTATTACTTTTTATCCGACGCATGATGTGGATCCCGGGCCAAATGGCGGAACAATATTCTAGCCTTGGTCTGACTAGTGCATGATGAGGATCCCAAATGGCGGAACAATATTCTAGCCTTGGTCTGACTAGTGTCTGATACGCAATGTACTTGGCGGTACTGTTGCAGTGGTGGATGTTTCTCTTGAGAAGTCCGAGCATACGATTGGCTTTTAAGATGATCTGATCAATGTGAGTGGACCACATCATTACTGAGTTCAATCCCCAGGTAGGGATGATGTTTAACCTCTTGTAGTTTGGTTTTACCCATCTGATAACTGGAGTCGACTGAGTTCTTCTTGTGGGTGATCCTCACGGTGTGACATTTGGAGGCATTGAATGACATGTGCCAGTCTTTTTCCCATTTTTCAAGTGTGTTGATGTTCTGTTGAAGAATGCAAGGGTCTGCTGCAGATTTTATTTCCCAGTACATGATACAGTCATCTGCAAAGGGTCTCACCTATGCGATTTGAGGTTCTGTGGTATATCATTAATGTATACTAAAAACAGGAGAAGACCCAGCACTGTCCCCTGTGGACCCCCAGAATTGACCTTAGACTTGTTTGAAGAAGTGCCCTCCAAAACAACTTGTTGGTGACGTTGAGTGAGAAATGAGTCAATCCATTTCAGAGCATTGTTCCTGATGCAGATGTTGTGGAGCTTCCTTAAAAGACGTTGGTGAGGCACCGAATTAAACGCTTTTTTACAATTACAATTAAGTCAGCTTGACTCTTATTGTTAGGAATTCCAGCCAAGACGTGGGTCAAGGCATCTAACTGGGTGTCACAGGAGCGACCTCTGCGAAAACCATGTTGGGCATCTGTCAGTACTTGATGCTTGTCGAGATGAATCATTATGTGATGATATAAAATATGTTCTAGTATCATACATGGAATAGACGTCAACGACACAGGTCTGTAATTACCAGGATTTTTCCTATCACGTACTTTCTTGTAAAGTGGCATGACGTTCGCTTCAAGCCAAGCTTATTTAGGTAAACATCCAGTATCCAGTGATTTTTGGAAGATCTTAGAATAAACTGGTGCAAAAGCAGAGGCGCACTCTTTCAAAATTCTAGGAGGTATGGCATCAGGTCCTGGTGCTTTGCTTGGTTTCAGATCTTTCAGTAATTTCTCAACCCCAATTGGATGTGTATGAATTTCTGGCATGTCGGGTAAGTCCAAGTCTGGTAATGTAGGGAAACTGTCAAGGTTTTCGTTCGTGAAAAAAACTGAACTGAACTGAACTGAACTGTTCATTCAGCACATTAGCCTTGTCAATCGGAGAGATCACAGTGGCACCAGATGAATCAGTCAATGTAGAAATTCCAACATCTGCTGCCTTTGGGCTTTGATGACATTCCCGAATGGTTTTGTGTTGTTGCTCGGAAGACTTCAGCCGATGACATCATGGATGTATGAACAAAAGGCAGCGGGTTTTTGGAACAAAAGGTTGAGCAACATGCCCTCCAATTATCGCGAAATGTGTGCAGTACTTATGGCACTTCATTCGTTTCTCCCCACAGTTAAGGGGAAGTCAGTCGAAATTGTTTCCGACAACGGTGGCCTACTAGAACCGACGGGGGCGGGGTTTCAGTGCAAAATCCTTCCGACCCACAGCAGCTACAGTTGCAATTGACACAGGCTGTGATCTTGATGTAGCCAGGAAAATTGGAAGCTGGGAATGCCCGGCAGTTTTGTACTACCACCGTATGTTCACTCCAACACCCCAAAAACTTTCTTAATATCTTGTTTGGCCATAAGTGAAATATGAGCATACTGCAGAAGTGTAGCATACATGTAGTTGTACTTGGTGGTTTGTTAACATATCACAGACACTTGGCTTACTGTTTACTTGGCTTTACTGCCAGTATTTGGAATTGACATGCTAATGTTTACCAGATTTCTTGGTGTTCTGGATAAACATTGTCTCTCCTGTTATGGCATTTTATTAAATATATTTCAAATGTTATTAACGAATGTTTGTGAGTGCGATGGTAAGAATAATTTCATGAGGTGACAGATTGAATGTTTTATATAACTGACATACATATCCTAGTCATTTGATTGGTGGAACTCACATCACATGACATTCGTTATTGCTCCCATTCACGCCGCGGCTCAAAAAGTACTATCCGCCCATGGGGAATGGGAAATACTATTCAACAGTTAGGATTATAACACCTCACCTACAGATTCTGTGTCTTGATTGGCCGAGAGCGAGTCACATGTTACTTTCTATTTTTGCTATCTTTCTGTGCACGGCCAAAGTACTATGCGCATAGCAACCAAAGTACTATACCATTAGCAACCAAAGTACTATTTCCACGGAGCGGTATTTGTGTGCAAATGCATGCTGGTGTGCGCGTTGCGCGTTGTGCGTAGCACGTATTATTCCAAAGAGAGCGTGCCGCAGCCTTGGGTTCAAACATTTCGTGAAGGGTTAGTTTTTAAGAGAGAAATACATTTTTCACCAATTTTGTATTGAAATTGAAATTTATTTCAACTGTGTTCAGACTTAAATAATGTAAAATATTAAAATCAAGCAGAATCTGTGGGTGAAGTGTTATAAAACAAATATTGAATGCTTTATCTCGTGGTGAAGTAAAACTAGCCTCCCTCGGTGATCCATGGACCATTCTATTTTCCCTCGGCTTCTCCTCGGGAAAATAGAATGGTCCATGGATCACCTCGGGAGGCTAGTTTTACTACACCACTCGAAGCATTCAATATTTGTATATCATGCCGCAGTATTTGTGTGCAAATGCATGCTGGTGTGCGCGTTCTGCGTTGCGCGTATTGTTCCAAAGAGCCAGCGCTACAGCGTTGGGTTCAAACATTTTCATGAAGGGGTGGTTTGGACTAGAGAAATGGATTTTCCTCCAGTTTCGTAATGAAAAAGAGTTCAAATGTATCAAATGACAAGGATCTATATGTCAGTTATATAAAACAAATATTGAGTGGCTTTAAATTGTGAAATGGGAGGAATATTATCACTCGGTAAAATCTGGACTTTTCCAGTTCACTCGGCTTTTTCCAGTTCACTCCTCCCATCCCACGCTGAGCCACTCAATATTTGTATACTATTCCACGAGGCGAAGCCGAGTGGAATAGAACATTCAATCTGTCACCGAATGAAATTATTCTTTCCATCGCACGAACGTAAAACATTCGTTATTTGTTTTATACAACACTTGAATAAATTCTCGTCATTTGATTGGTAAATTATAAACTACAATTTATTTTGATTTTACAGATGTTGAACTACCCCTTCACGAAAATGTTTGAACCCAACGCTGTAGCGCTGGCTCTTTGGAACAATACGCGCTACGCTGAACGTGCACACCAGCATGCATTTTGCACGCAAATACCGCGTCATGGAACAAGCGCAAAGTGAAACGGTATAACGCATGGGTATAACGCATGGTCGCACCGTGCATTATACCGAATAATAATATGTCACGTGATCTACAATTCACCAATCAGATGACGGGGATTTATTCAGGTGTTGTATAATCTGTATTGTTCAGTGTTTTGCAGTTCCATGTATATGCTTATATATGCTTAAAATGTGCTATCACAATGGCTCGATATGCGATAGCTATAGCGCGCGGCGCACGGTCAAGACATGGACTGTCGCATCGTTTCATCACGCCCAAGGGCGCATCCAGAACACAATTTTTTGGGGGGGCCAAACAAAAAGTGGGTCAAAAAAAATTACGGCGTGGGGTTCGGGGATTCTAGATGCTCTGTGGTGCGATCTGAGGCAATTTCTGACCACTTTAACCAATGTTTTTTTGAGGAAAAGATGGTGTTGTACTCATTGCCTGCCTTTATTGCGATGTCATATATATATAAAAAAAAAAATGGTTTCGGGTTTTTTTTGGGGGGGGATGGCCCCCTTTGCCCCCCCCCCCCCCCTGGAGCCACCCTTGATCACGCCGACGTGCTGCCGTTTTGTCTTAGTACCATATTTTTCATAAATTATTTTTTCCATTGTACTTCAATGTATTTTCTTTAGCCAATGGATATCCTTACGGTTTCTGTTTCACCTGTTCAGTAGACAATGTAGTTACTTTTTAAATAAAACTGTGTCAATCACATTTTAGTGACTGCTAGATAGTTGTAAACAAAAGATATACCAGCCGAAAATCGTCGGCTCATCACTTCCTTCATGTTGTTGTATGTGTCATCTCATTTCTTTAAGTGTTGCCACTTTTGGAGCATGACACCAGTGGAAATTCTATAGAAATGTATAAGGCATAATCCATTAATCGAAAGCCATGGAAATTGATCAATCAAAAAGTCTCTTTCATCAGTTAGAGGCCTATTATTCCCGGAACATTCCCGTTAGAAACCAATAAATTGTGGGTATTTTGGCTCCATATTATAATTGTACGCGATATCCGTGATGTTAATGGAAAAAACCCAAACAACCTGATTTGTTTTTTGTAATGTGTGAATCTTATTTTTCTATAGGAAGTTATCACATGATCTTTTTATGGAAATTGAGCAATCGATTATTCCTAGCATTCAATAGATAGACGTATGATGGGTTAGTGTCTCTTTTTTTCTTCTCCCCATTGATATCACGGATAAATCGCGTATAAATACAATAAGGAGATTGAATCTCCTTATTGTATTTATACGCGATTTATCCGTGATATCAATGGGGAGAAGAAAAAAAGCCAAAGCAAACTGTGCGAATCATTTTTTTGCAACCTGTTAAAATCCCATAGTACAGCGGGAAACACTCCCTTTTCATCTCTCTCGTTCTTTTTCTCCTTACATCAGATTGCAGATGATGTGGTAGAATACCTGAACACAGCTCCCAATGGAGTGGTTTTATTTTCGCTGGGTAGTCACGTTGGAAGCATGGAGCGAGAAAAGGCCCAAGTCCTTGCCGACGGCTTCGCCTTGCTACAACACCGAGTGTTGTGGCAGACCTCAGCTGCTTTACCTGCAGGAATTAAGCTAGCAGACAACACAAAAGTCGTCCAATGGCTGCCTATGGCCCAAGTCATGGGTAGGTCTTTCTACACTTGATGTATTTTTTAAGCTTGCATCTAGCGACCAGTGGCGTAAATCTGTGCCGGCGAGTTGCGGTAGGGGGCGCTGTTCACGATGCAGAGGTACATCTTATATGTATACTTAACTTGAGCGCTTACGCGCCTTAATGGTATAGTCCATCATTTGTAATCTGTGCCTTTTGTTCGTTTGAAGCAGCAAACGTGCTCAAAATCTAAAGAAGGGTGCTGAACAACTAACCTGATGAAGTTTCAGTGCAGCTTCAGCTGTATATTCCGAGAAAAACAACATTCCGGGATCTGGATTTCAAATCAAAAGTAGCTGAATCATGTTTTGAATTGGGCCTGAATTCAGCGTCCGAGACACGTTCTCACTGCGCCGATTGCAGCTGAGCGATAACAGTTTAGTCCCCTTACTATCTTTTAACCCGGCAAGTATGTTTTTCAACAATAATTACGCGAGTTACTTTTTGGATAGCTGCAAATGATGGACTGTAGCTTTAACCTACATCCAAACGGCGCATCTAAAGCTTTAAAAAAATCACCACAGTGCCATTGATCTGCATTTTTTTCTCATCAGGAAAAAGTGGAGGGGGGATGGGAATAATCCAATAGCACATCCTCCCCGTTCAAAAAGTGTGTGTGTGGGGGGGGGGGGGGGGGGGGGGGCTATGCCCCCATCCTTTCTGGGATTTACGCTCCTGGTCCCTAGTAGCTTTGCTTCCACCCACGCCACCATCACCTTTGCAGCCCCGGCCCACCCCTGGTTTGTTCGAAAACAGCAAGGGGAGCGCAATTAAAGGTTCTTATTGTTAAACATTTTAATCCAGAGCACGTTAATGTCAAAGTGTTTGTGAGTCACGGTGGCGGCTTCAGTATGTACGAGGCGTTGTGGGCCGGACTGCCCATGGTAGGCCTACCGCTCTTCGAAGATCAGATGGACAATTTGGACCGGCTAGAAGACCGTGGGGTCGGGTTGGCGCTAGACATCACCACCTTGACACCGGAGATATTGAGCCAGACCATCCACAAAGTCGTGGCAGAACCAAAGTGAGATCGATTTTTGTGTTCATATCAAATTCAGAGGAAAATCTCGTCTGATAATTTGTCGTGATTGGGTATAAGCAGAGAGAAATAAGAGAAATACACTTTTTAGGATGAAAAAAAGCCCTCGATCTTGACTGAAAAGCAAAGCCCTGTTCAATAGGCTCACATTGCTCCACCAGCCATCCATGACTGACATAATTGCAAAGAAATACATTAAAAACAAATAGCGCGCGGCGTAGGTGTTCACCAATGACCCTCTAGTAGGCCTACAGTACACTTAAAAATTGCCTGGGCTAATCTTTAAATCCGATTCTGGGTACCCGAAAAATATTTAGGGTTAAATCAATAAAAAATAATCCATTTGTAATTTAATTCAGCATTTTTCAAAGTTGAAAGGCTGGGTTAAAATGAACTTAGTTCAAATTCTGGGTAACAGAATCCTGGTAATCTTTTATCATTGAAATGATCGTGAGTAACTCAATTTTTTGTTAAAGATATAGTCCATTTGTAATTTGTGCATTTTGTTCGTTTGAAGCAACAAAAGTGTTCAAAATTTAATGAAGGATACTGAACAACTAACCTGATAAAGTTTCAGCTCAGCGTCAGCTGTTTATTCCGAGAAAAACAGCATTCTATGATATCAATTTCAAATCAAAAGTTGCTGAATTATGTTTTGAATTGGGCCTGAATGCAGCGTCCGAGACACGTTCTCACTGAAGCCGGTTGCAGCTATACGCGATGTCGCGCACTGATCGACGAATTATAGCGATAGAATAAAAAGACTAGATCGGCAGCGCGTGCATACGCGCCATAGAGTGTGCACAAATTTTCCCGTTCCCGCACGGACGCTCTACTCGCAGTAGTGCGTGGGGGAAAACGTGCGTTACGCGCACCTACATTCCCGTAGGTTTGTGCACAAACTTGTATTTTTATGTCCGTAAAAGTAACATTTTTTTTACCAGAAGTTATTATATATCCAACAAAATCTAATATGCATTTTCAAGCTGGGTAGTCACCTCGAAGTTTGCTCCATTTCCCCCTCGTAGTTACTGTTCGTTTAAAAATGGGGGTGCGCGTTGCTAAAAATCTCCAAATAAGATCAGCTTATCTGATAAAATGTGTATAGCTCTATGATAAAGACATTGTTTTAAACAATGAAAAGGGAAAAAAGGAGAATGTAAAAACTGCTTTAAATTACCGTTGAATTAGTTAAGAAAATTGTGAAATGTTGCAATGGATGATTTTAGAGATTTGTGTTACAATTATTATTCTTTTTGGGATGAGAACAATTTACTTGGATTGCATTTTATATGTGTGACTTTTAATGACAATAATATTGCCTCTGAAAACCGTTTTAAGAATGAAATGAAATTACGCTCCCGCAATGTTCCGGACCTCTGAATAACCTAATGAACTCTTCAAGTTTATTTACATTGTGCTCTACTTTTAGTACCCATTTTGTTCAACATTGTGAGATTCTTGCGCCTTCTTGAAAATTTTCAGATGCTGGATACGTCACAAGAGGTCCAGAGCAAAATAACACAAATTTATTTGTTCTATTCTTTTTAATGTTAGTAAAGGGCTGGGGGAGGGGGCGTGGTCCTCGGCCCCCAGTATCCAACAGTACAAAACTGCATCTGATATACAGTATATGTCATACCTTGAGGAGGGACCATAGAGAAAAAAAATATTCTAGGTGTTGTCCCTTAAAAGTTGCCGTGAACAACTGCGGGAATATTTTGTTTGTTGATGAAGAAAAAGGCAGATTTCAGTGATAGCGTGATGATTAGAGGTTCTCGCGTTCACAGCCAAAATACAAACTTCTGACATATCCGAGCAATTACATTTTATGCGACTCCGCGCACCAGCCAATCAGAGCCGGCCTTTACAAGTTGTGACGTCATTTAGAGCAGAAATTCGTCCAGAGCTGCTGATTGGTCAGAATACTGCCATGTTTTTGTCATACAATACCGGGTTATGTATTGTTGATGTACCCTAACGTGGCGCGGCCCCTAACGTGGCGCACTTTGATTTTTTGCATGTAGCACCTAGCTAGAGCAAAAGTTTTAACTGAAATTTCACAGAAAGTGAAATTTCATCAAATTCTTAACACTCCCGTTCATAAATCGCGAGTTTATCTACCTGTTACAAAGTTAAAAGAAACATTCATTTTGGCGTGATTTTCCCATTTTATTTTGAAGTGCAAAGTGAACCCTTTGAAAATGCCCCGAAAAATAAGAAACACAATTTCTGACAAATTTCTGGTTGGAATATTTATGTAGAGATAATAATGGTTTATCAGAATCTATCAACTTTACAGGAATTCTTAAATGTCAATTTGGAATTTTCCGAGATTTATTTAAGGTCGCCACGTTAGGGAACACTCCGCTAATTTGTGCCCAATTTCCAGACGCCACCGTTTTTTAATCTTGGATTAAATTTCGTGAAACCGAAATTGTTCACAGAGGTTAGAAAGCAAGCATTAACAAGGTAAAAGTGCTAGAATTTTACTGCATGAATTTGAGGTATGTCAACAAAGAGGTTTGGCAACACTACACGAGGAAAGTCGGGTGAACGTCGAAGTGCGCCACGTTAGGGAACACCACTATACCGAATACACGATCATGAAAACGTGCCCTCTGAATAATACAAATCTGGAGATCCAGATGCGGTGTAGTTTTGCACAATTTACACGCACATCATAGCCGTGCAAAATAAATATCCCATAGACTCTTAGCAAAAAAGTGCCAAGATGTACCATGGGTCGCTCTTTAGATATTTCCCCGAATTCAACGCAAATTATTTCTAATAAACCCATATCTCGATAAAGGACGTCTTTAAAAGCGTTTTCGTAATCTTTTTGCGTATTCTTTTTACTGACAGATTCTGTGCCAATGCACGGCGTGTATCTCTGATCATGCGAGACTTGCAGACCATGTCACCCCCAATCAAGACGGCAGCTCATTGGATCCTTCATGTCACCAAGTTCAGCGGTGACCACCTGCGCCCGGCCGTCCTGGATCTGAATTACATGCAGAGGAATCTTCTAGACGTCTACGTCTTCATCATGGCCGTACTGGCTTTGATCCTAGGAGTAAACCTCTCCGTGTGTTACTGCTGCTGTAGGTGCATGTGTGGCAAGACTGGGAAAAGCCATCCAAAAACAGAATAAAACATCCAAGTGGGAATAAAACTATGCTGCCAATTACGAGTTTTTGTGGAGGGAGTCTTCCTCAGGCAGCATCTCTTGCAGTGCTCGCACCAGGTTTTGATGTCCTGTGCCATCTTGGGCCAAAAAAACCTGTTTCTTGCCATGTCGAGCGTTCTGTCGAAGCCAAGGTGGCCGAAGTCATTGTGGAGAGATCTCATGACAGTGTCTCTGTATTGTTGGGGAAGAACAAGTTGTTCTGTTGTTGATCCATCCTGGTTGTTTCTCAGACGATAGAGCACGCCATCCCTCATCTGGAGCGTTGCCCATTGTCGTAAACAGATGAGACATCCAAGCTGTTCGCAACCTCTCTCTTCTCTGGTTGGCTTTCTGCCCTTCTCCATGTATAGTGTATGACTCTTGCGACATTATGATCACTTCTCTGGGCTGAAATGATGTCTTTTTTGGATAGTCTAGGCAAGTCATTGGTTGGTCCAGGCATGTGACTCTCGGTCGTGACTTCACATCTAGCTACCGGAGGCTGTACAAAGAGATTTGGTTCTAGTGGGTGACTGTTGCAGATGGCTTGCACGATGTGAGGTGGGATGGTGATGGCGTCCTTCTGGAATGTCAGGAGAGTCCTCGAGGTATCAGAATGTGGTTTGCGAGATAGCGCATCGGCTGCTTCGTTGCTCTTGCCTGGTTTGTACTTCACGGTGAAGTTGAACTGGGATAACGCAGCAATCCATCTTTGGCCTGTTGCATCTAGCTTGGCAGAGGTGGTGACATACAGGAGAGGATTGTTATCAGTCAGCACTGTAAATTGGTTGCCCAGTAGGTAATCTCGAAACTTGTCAGTAATTGCCCACTTCATCGCTAAGAATTCTAGCTTGTGCGCTGGGTAGCGAGATTCGGCGGGGCTCAGAACTCTACTGGCGTATGCGATGACTCGTTCCGTTCCTTCCTATACTTGGCTTAGAACAGCTCCGAGCCCGACTCCTGACGCATCAGTCTGCAGGATGAATGGGAGTGAGTAGTTGGCGTAGGCGAGGATCGGTGGAGATGTCAACTGTTGTTTCAATTGATCCATGGCCATCTGACAATCATCCGTCCAAATGAATGGTGGGGTTACAGATGTAGAGGTTTTTCTGATCTTCCTCTTCTTCCGTCTTGGGTCACCGGATGTGAGTTTGTAGAGAGGTGAGGCAATGTGCGAATACCCTTTAATGAATCGCCTATAGTAGCCGGTGAAGCCGAGAAATCGTTGTAATTCTTTGCGGCTAGTGGGAGTTGGCCAGTGTTGTACTTGCACAGTTTTGTCTGGATCACTACAGATGCCTTTGCCCGAAACAATGTGACCAAGATACTTTACTTCTTCTTGGAGGAGGTTACACTTAGACGGCTTGAGTTTTAGGCCATGTTGTCTCAGGCAAGTGAATACTTTGGCAAGACGGTCAAGATGTTCTTCGAAGTTGGTAGAGAAAATGATTATGTCGTCGAGATACAACAGACATGTGACATAGTTTTGCTCTCCTAGACAAGTCATCATAAGACGCTGGAATGTGGCCGGGGCATTTGCAAGACCGAAGGGCATCCGGTTACATTCATATAAGCCCATGGGAGTAGTGAAGGCTGTCTTGGGTATGTCTTTTTCTTCCATTTGGACTTGCCAGTAGCCTGATGTAAGGTCTAGTGTGGTGAAGACTTGGGCTGTTCCAAGAGCATCCAGAGCTTCGTCAATGCGTGGGAGTGGATAAGCATCCCGTACAGTTTTGCTGTTCAGGCGACGGTAGTCGATGCATATTCGCAATGAGCCATCTTTCTTATGTGCAATCACGATCGGCGAGGCAAAGGGACTGCTACTTCTACGAATTACGTCTGTTTCCTCCATGGCCTTGAGGTGATCCTTGACAGCTTGGTATTGCGAAGGTGGGACTCGGCGATGAGGAAGTCGAAATGGTTGATCATCTATGAGTGGAATGCTGTGCTTAATCGTTGATGTACATCCGAAGTCAAGTGAACTAGATGAGAATACATCAGAGTATTCTTGAAGAAGATTTTCCAGCTGTTTCTTCTGTGATTCGCTGTCAAATTTCGCGGTGGAGAGGTCTACAGGAGGTGTAAATCTTACATCTGATGGATCATCATGGACTTGACTCTGATCTGTCGGAGTGGTGCATTCATGGTCTTTATCTTCCCGTCTAGATTGTGACTTATCTTGATTTTGATGGCGTGGTAGATCATCAATGCGCAAGATGGACGATAACTGTGCCAGTTTACAGTTGTGTCTGATGGTTATGGGTTTTGCAGAAATGTTGCACAGTCTCACAGGTACTTGGCAGTTAGGTCCAACATCTGTGACTAGGTTGCTGACTTTCAAGCATGAAGAGCTTTGAGGAAAATTCTCGACGACTGCGGTGTAAGGAAAGCCTTGACCACGGGGTGCTTGACAAATGATGTCTTCTTCTTGGCCTGGTGATATCACTCGGGGATTTCGCCCGATGTACTTCGCGTAGCCGATAGTACCATCATGGTCGTTACCAGGTTCCGAAGCGGTGAGGCTGCTGAATGCCGCATGCCACGCAGAGCTCTTCGTCTGAAGATGTTGCGTGAATTGGTTACTCTTTGCTATTTGCTGATCCCTCTTGACAGCTCTGATCACATTGGTACCAATGAGGACTGGAACATCTCTGCGGTAACTATCTGTTGGTACCACGAATGCAGGGACATCTTCATAAACAACGTCCATTATATCTAGGGTAACTGGTACGATGCCTAAGTGAGGTACACTATGCCCACTCGCACTCTCGATGGAAACTTCTGTAGGAGAGGGTTCTCTGTTCTGGAGCTCAGGATGTCGCTTCCAAAGGTCTTCTGTTATTGAAGTGATCTGCGAACCAGAATCTATCAAGGCAGTATAATTGACGCCATTTATCTTGACTACATCTTCATTGTTAGGACCAATTAATTGTTGATGGTGAGGCTTGCTACCATGTTGGAATATTGTTGATTGTCGAGATGCGCTGTTTGAAGAAGACTTCATTGGGCTTGTTGGTTGTTGGCCTCTGACGGCTTGCCCATCGACCGCGGGCCCTTGGGGTTTAAAGGAACGCTTCTACATCCTTTGGCAATGTGCCCCTCGTTACCACATCTATGACAGATGAAAACCCGTTGGCCAGCAGGCTGTTGGTCTTCCTTCGGGTGCTGATATCGCCGTGGTCTTGTAGAGATCTGCTCAACCTTCTGTGCTAATTGATGTACAGTAAGGAGCAGGTCTTGCAAAACGTCGTGATCGGTACTGGACTTGGGCTTATTGTCCACCAGTTGGTTTCGTTGATGGTCAGTCGCACCTGGCGTGCTTGACGAAGAACGCTGATGGTACTGAGGACGAATCTGCTGGGATTGCTGGGACTGGATCTTGGCTTCTGTCTTCACAGCAGCAGCCATTCGAGATTCACGTTCCAATTGACGAAGCTCAACTTGGAGTTCTCTAAATGTCATCTCCCTTGGTCTCATTGGTGCCAGTCTCTGCGTGACTTTTTCATCTTTGACGCCTCTCATGAATTGTTGCGTGAGCATGCTGTTTCTGTTTGGAAATGGGCGTCTAAGACTTGATCTTTCTTCGATGATCCTCAATGTTGCTTCAAGCTCGACGGCGTATATGCTCGGTACCTCGTTGGGAAGTCTTACACGCTCGTAAAAGTTGGCCAATGGATCACCAGTTAGAAATACATCTCCAAATTGTGCCTTGAGTTCTACGAAAGCGTGGCTAGGGGTCTGATGTGTCGGAGGTAGCGAGGACCAGTTTTCTGGCGGCTCCGCCGAGGTATCTGACGATGGTGGAAAACTGGAGTTCTGTAGGCATAGACGTGGTCTCGATGAGGTACTTCACGTCTCGTACCCAATCATCAACGGCAATGGTTGCACCTTGGTCGCGCCCAGTGAAGATCGGTACAGTTTTCACCTGATGCGATGGAAGAAGACGATGCTGAGATGTAGGCATGGGAGACGAACGGTCAGGTCTGTGTTGATCCTGTGGTGTAAGCACTGGATAACCAGTTGAAGTAGAACCTCGTCTCAATATGGGGGTAGGCCTTATGGGGGTTGAACGCTGTATATGCGAATCTTGTACTGGATGTCGGGGTGTGCTGCGAGATAGTCGTCTCTCGATGTCTTCCAGTTGCGTTAGCATTTGGTCTGTGGTGAGCTGGATGTTACGCAGATCTTCTTGAAAGGGAGATGCCTGTTGAGGTATGCGTCTTTCCTTGGGTCTGGTGTCTTGAGGGAGGTTAAGTCGAGGTCGACGAGACGACATTTGACCAATTGGTGCGGTGGTTGATGGGAAGATTTCGTCGTCGGACATATGCATTCTGGAGGCTGCCATTTTGCTTTGAAGGAGACAATCTGAACTTGCGAGAAAACAGTCCAAAGGGGAGATATACAAGGGGAAAATGTGCATGAGAAAAAATGCACAAATAACACCAGCAATTGTCATCATATGCAAATTTTCACGAATGCAAATCAAATGAGATGAATCGGAGAAAAGGAATTGAGGATCAGATAAGGAAACGGATTCAAGGGTGAAAATAGCGAAAAGATAATCAACATACTCAATCAATCAGAAGGTAAGTACGATACAGCAATTATGTAACTCAATCACTGTAACAAATGCACAAATATATCAGAAAATGAAACACAAACAGGTAAAGCAATTCGGAATAACACAATAAAAGATACTCAAATACAATACACCAGAACCAGCTTACACAAGCAAATGAAAATGAAGTCGAATGAAACAGTAAATTTCTCAGCAATGCAAATAGAACACACACAAAAAGAAATTCGATTACCAACTCAACTGAAAATTCAGAAGGTAAAATCAATTCACACAAACGATCAAACTGTCAGACACAAACTAAATGTGTGTGCGCTGCCTTGTTTTGCACCAAGATTATGTCAATAAAGGCAAAAGAACAGTGAGCATCTGCTACCAAGTGTAGGCACTGAAGTACTTAATCCAATTTGTACACTAGCTGGACAAGAATGCAAAGCAAGATCAATGATTGTCAACGACTTACTTAATGAAAGAGCTTTCTATCAAATCGGAATTCACAATACAATGGGAGGTTTAAGAACCAGGTGAGTATTCGGATTAAATCGTAGTCTTTTATAACAACGGTAACTAGGGTAACTTACACAGCGTCGTTAATCAGCCCAATGTAGTCTTGATCGTTGTGAAGTACTATGGATCAACGATGGTGCATGGTGCGTGTCTTTGCGATCGTATCAATGTTCAAACAGTGGGAGTCCGTGGGAAAACAAACTAGAATGTTCGAATCTTGGAAATATTCATGGGACTCCGATCATCAGCGATTTCAGAAAGTTCGCGGTAAATAGTTCTTGACTTGTGAATGTCAGCGTCGGCCAGTAGTTCCAACAGTTCTGCTAGTGGATGGACGAACTTTTCCGTTAGACGGGCGCTCCAGGCTGGGTGACAGTATTCGGTAGACGGGTCAACTCGCTGACTTTTCCGGTAGGCTGGCGCTCAAGGCTCGCTGACGGTATGGGGATGGCTTGGCAAGGTCCTTCACGTCCTGGAATTTGGGAAACACAGCGGTCCGTTGCAACAGATGATGGTGTTGGTTGGTGTTACCGGACGGTGAGGAACTCGGGCTCGTCTTCACGTCTTGAGTCGGGGACGGGTTGGCCTGGAACAGGGCTCTGCAGCTACCCTGTCTGCGGTGCTACCCGCACCCCGGCTGATGCTGCCGTCACACTCCTTGGGGCGAGATCCTCTTCCCGGTCGTCTACAGGATAGATGTCTTGGCCGTCGACAAGGTACAGGATTGTCGGGTGATCGTTGCCTGCCGTTGGTAAGCCCGTACCCGGATTCTCCACCAAATGTGACCCTTCTAAATAATACGGGCTGAACGGCTGATTCTCAGTTTGTGCTGGTTTATTTCTGTTGAGGAACGAAGACACCGTGTTACTTGGTCTTCGACCGAAAACAGAATCAAATATACAAAATACAAAAGAATGACTGTACAAAATACTTATGAAATAATCTAGATACTAAATACCAAAAAGGATTCATCAATATTTAAACAAGATCCCGCGGTTTGCGCCTAAATTCGGGCAGCGTCCGCCATATTGAATTTTACTGTGAAAACCCAATAAATACAAGATAATTAATCCAATCTTATAATTATAATAATGAAGAAATGAACTGCTGAATTTCTTCTACAATATCGAAATATCTATTACTCTTACGATAAGATAATTAAATGAATTCTTGAATACATGAAAAATCACAAGTCAATCAATATCCTAAAATAATTGAATATGCTTCCAAAATCAACTAATATGACCTAAGAGCAATCTAAATCTACTCAAGGACAGTATCTGTTAACTGTGAATTAATATAAGTTATTATTATGAGAAAGATTGAGGTAAAATGTAAAAAGATCATTACCTGTTGAAGAACGAAGACACCGTGTTACTTGGTCTTCGACCGAAAACAGAATGACGAAATGTGGAAAGCGCGCGAACTGGTTTACAAAACCAAGAGGGCGCTCGCCAATTTAAATAACAGATAACGATTACGTAATGTAAATATAAATAGAGGGGGGGTTCGCATCGCAACCGTCACAGATACATGAAAAGTTATTACAACTGTTGCAAACTGAATTACTGGCTTGATTGATCTGAAATATACAAATCAAAAAGTTGCGAGGCAAAATGACACGGAAACACTTTTGAAGCAAGATATTTGGAAGGGGCCCCCCTCCGCCCTTAGTTTGTGTTGGTCATTGTATTCCCGTAATCTCAGGAATCCGTTTGAGTATAGGGGGAACGTGTTAGGTAACAATTATAGTCAGGAGTGTGTATAATATTATGGTATAGGGACACCGGGGAAACCGCTCTGTCAGTGCGAGTAAAAAAACTATACACTTTTAAAATTGGCCATAGTTTTTTTCTGTGACGATATAGATAAAATATTTTCATATGTACTTCAAGAGTAACTCTTCCTGCTTCTTTCGGTGTAATTTTCCCTGGGTTAGTTTTCATGCATGACTGCACAGGAGACGATTAAAGGGGTCGGTTGAAATCTGACTTGCACCAACTGGTCAGGGCTGGATATGAAAGGACAATTTAAAAGAACACATTAAAGGAGTCAGGCGAAATCTGACTTGGGTCCGTGCATATGAGTTGGGGGAGACCATTGGTATTCCTGGTCCCTCTATTGTCATTCGGACTTCAAATGTAGGGACAGGTAGCTAGCTAGCAGTGAATCCTTACTACATTAGGAGGTTTTCCTAATATCATAATTATAATAATAATAATAATAATAATAATACATAATAGCATTTATAAGGCGCGCTTTATCTGTGTAACATTCAAGGGCACAGGTCTAGGTGGAGAATAACAGAAAACTCAATTTTGTGATGATGATGAAAACGCTAATGAGAAAATGTATGTTTTGAAATGCTGTTGAAAGTGTATGATGTTCTTGTCTGAGATACTCTGGGGTTGAGTTCCATAGGCGAGGGGCAATACTCAAAAAGCTTTGTCTCCATAACTGGCTAGTCGAGTTGGAGGAACAACGAGAGTACTGATCGTTAAGACCTCACTGACCCGACCTGACAGAGCGGGGTTGCAGCATGTTCGTTAAATAAAGAGGGGCAGAGCCATAAAGTGTCTTGAATGTTAGGAGGAGGATCAAGAATTAAATTCTGTATTTAACCGGTAACCAGTGTAGCTGGTTGTGATCTGATCTGTTCAAGTTGCAGACCATGGTCAAACAGCACGCCAAGAACTGGTCAAACAGCACGCCATGATTACGGGTATCTGTGCTCGGTACGAGCAGAGTATTGTGACGTGTCGTGCGTGCCAGAGCTCCTACGTTAGGCTTGTTTGTCCGGTAGCATGCCGTCCCGATGGTGTCCTATCCCTGTAGTGGTGGGCCACATCACCAGGCTATCCCCTCTTCTCAGTTGACAGGATCAGTATAGACTTGTGGAAGTCAGGCCAGTGGAGCAAGAGAAGGGGACAGGGAATTGGCAATCGGAATGTGAAGTCGGAATGTGGGTGGAGTCGGAATGTCGGTGGAGTCGAAATGTCGGTGGAGTTTGAATGTCAGTGGAGTCGGAGTGTCGGTGGAGTCGGAATGTCGGTGGAGTCGGAATGTCGGTGGAGTTTGAATGTCAGTGGAGTCGGAATGTCGGTGGAGTCGGAATGTCGGTGGAGTCGGAATGTTGGTGGAGTTTGAATGTCAGTGGGGTCGGAATGTCGGTGGAGTCGGAATGTCGGTGGAGTCGGAATGTCAGTGGAGTCGGAATGTCGCGTCAACGCAGCTTGTGAAATATTGTCCAATTACATGATATATACAAATGGACGAGGAACGCGCAAAATCTGAGACAAACAAAATGTAATGTACAAAAACTCCATAGGGTTGTCTAAGGGGCGTGGCTAACTCGAAAACGGCGATAGGTCAATTGGTGATCGGAGACAGTAATCGAGTACGGTGGTCATGCCTTTAATCAGTATCATATCCGTCATGTCATCCTTATCAATAGCTTTAGCAATTATTCTAATAATTATTCTAATGATTGGAGAATCAAGCAATCTGTCACAAAGTGTGATTCATATTTTTAAATAATGTTTCAATTTTTGTATTTATCATTGTGTTTATTAATGTAATTAATTATGGGATTTTCACTTATACATTTATTTTAGCACAAGTTAATTTAATTCTCCCCCATCCAAAATTGAGGCTACCCAGAGTGTACAGCAGAGCTAAATCTTTCTTATGCAAATGACAGTATGCAAATTAATGCCATGGTTGAGTAATTTTGTTAGGACTTGGATGCCATGTGCATTCCCCAGGGCACTGCTATTCTAGACTTCACTGTGTGCAGTCCTGTGTGCAGTCCTGTGTGAGTACATGTACATGTACATGTATATACAGTGGTACTGTGTGTACCAGGGCGTGGCCCATGATTTAAAAAGCCAGTTTATCCTGCAAACTGTAAGTTTTATTTCATCCTGCTTTATACAATATAATTCAGTAATAGAAGTGCATAGTACAGAAATTATGAATATTTTGGGAGAATAGTGATAGTCCAGAAATGGTGCATTTTGAAGTTAATCTTTAGAGATTGATGTATAGAATTGCCTTTGGTAATCAAGTTTATTTTCATTAAAATTAATATAGTTGATGAAGTAAGATAAATTGTAAGAATTTTTGAAGATTTTGAATGCCATTTTCATTCCAGAAATTTAGCTTGAGCATGGAGCGAATGTAAATTTGATCATAAGTCGGTAGGCACTCTAATTTTCACTGTGAATTATGTTTAACCTTTTTTTTTAAAGGGCTTTTCCCTGTGGGAATAGAGAATTCCTAGGTTCTTGGTGAACCAGATAGCTTGTTCTGTGTGAACAACAGTTAGCCAACTCCCAAGACTAGCTCACGGTCTACCGAGAGAGTCAGGAGGAATATTCGGAACCGAGTCCTGTGTGGACCGTCAGGCATCGAGCCAGATTCCAAGGCCCGGAGAAGTCACCCAAGTTCCCCAAGCCCGGAGTTCATCCGCCTTAGTGGGATCGTCAAAGCGCCGGAGGGATGTTGTGTGTGTGACTGGTGCTCCAAATCGACCACCCGTGTCACAAGTGTGAGCTTTGAACACAGCAAGTCCTTCAAAAGGTTTTGAACAGTGACTGTTTAGGGGGGGTAATTGCATTTGTTTTGGGGTATTGGAAACGGCCGTGTAACACATAATACAGGATCCTTATAATGCCATGATATAATTGAGTATCCGTCACTCAAAGTATAAGTAATTCATATAGTGGCATAATTCAATTGAAATAATTTGTACATAGTAAATTTCCGTTTGTTTAATATATTTATTTGTCGTAATTAAATAGTATTTTGTCTTGATCATACACATTTTGCCGTCCGGAGTTTGATTTTCTGTCCTGCTAATTTGTCAAATATATCCACTACTGTCCTCCATGGGAAAAACAGACCCATGGTGTGACAAATGGGGGCTTGTCCGGGAATCGAATGCGAATTTTGTCGTAGTGGATGTGTTTGACTGAAATTAGTAGACAGTAAAATTTAACCAGGGAAATACACTAGTTGTAAATAAGTTGCGTAGGTTCAAGTGGAGTATAGAGACTCTGTTCATGGGCTATTGATAGGGTCTGTCTCTGATATAGAAACCTATGTCCTAGCCCCTTTGCTTCCTTTACACAGTGTGATTGCGCTAAATTGTTGATCTATTCAACCAAAGGGGACAATTGTTCCTATTGACAGAAGTGATTTGATTTTTTTGTGGCTTGTAGACATTCTCACTCGAAATTGTTGATCGGTGCAGAGTTGCGTTGGTGATCATTTCGATAGGGTCGAATCGCGGACGCTGCGCAAATACGGAAAGTGTCACGCAGGCGAAGTATAGAGTGTTCAATGTCCCATATGCATAACTTGTGTAGTTCTGTACTGTTGATCACTCTGTTGCTAATTAACATGGAGTTTGAGAGTTTTATCAAGATAGGACAGGAGATAGGTCTTGAAGGAATGGAGCTGGTCCAGTTTGCTCGTGAGCGAGAGCAATTACAGGAAAAGAAACAGCGGGAACACTACGAGAGGGAAGAACGCAGAATTGAACGGGAGGAGAAGCAACAGGTAAGAGAACATGAACGTGAAATGAAGGCATACGAATTGCGAATAGTGCAGGAACATGCCCCTGTTAGTTCCGACCCTGGAGCTTCAAGTACATTTAGGTACCCTCGAAGCTCTGCGAAAACCCCCAAACTTCCTTGTTTTAATGATCAAACAGATGACATGGATGCCTACCTCCGACGATTTGAACAGTTTGCGGAACTGAACAGTTGGCCTGAAGAAGAGTGGGGCCTGTCACTTAGTGCCCTTCTCAAAGGTAAAGCTTTGGAAGTGTTTTCAAGGTTACCAGTAGAAAAGGCTAAGGATTTCTCAGAGATTAAAACTGCTCTTTTGAATCGTTTCAGACTAACAGAGGAAGGATTTAGGCTGAAGTTTAGAACATCAAAGCGGGAAACTGGTGAGCGATACGCTCAGTTTGCTGACCGGTTGAAAGGATACGTGGAAAGGTGGGTAGAGTTAGGGAAAATAGAGAAATCTTACGATAAGGTTGTAGACCTTTTTGTTTCTGAACAGATCCTGGAAGTGGCAGACAAGGACCTCGCACTCCACGTGAAAGAACGGAAGCCGAAGGACCTTGCCGAACTGACGGACATCGCTGACCACTACATGGAGGCTCATGATTGGTTGAAGAAGAAACCAGATGTGGTGAGACCAAAAACGCACCCACCTAGGTACCAATCCCAGACCACAGGTAAGAGTAACAGTCACAAAAGTTCACCCAGTCCAAATGAAAATTCACATGCAAACAGACGATGTTACAAATGTGGTAAAACTGGCCATATTGCTCAGTACTGTAGAACCAATCCAGCTAATGCCCAACCGTCCAGTAAGTCCAACAAAGTTGCAGGTTTGAAGGTGGAAACTGAAAGTAAGGAACCATCCCAGACTGGAGCTGCCTGCCTGAACATGACAGTGACGCCGACGGAGGAAGTTGAGAAGACTGATGTCCCGCAGGCTAGTGACAAGGCATTTCCATTCATCAGTGCTGCATGTACCATTGAGCCATCCATGCCGGTGAGGAAAGGAGTAGTTGGTGAGTTACCTGTAACAGTCCTCAGAGATACAGGGTGTAGCACAGTTGTTGTCCGTAGAGACATAGTTCGTGATGACAACTTGACAGGTCGCATTCAACCATGTATCCTTTTAGATGGAACAGTCCGGCGAGTGCCAGTGGCCCAGATAGATGTGAATACTCCCTTTTTCATTGGGCACGTTGAAGCTTTATGCATGGATAATCCATTGTATGATTTGATTATTGGAAATGTGACAGGAGCAAGAGATCCACAAAGTCCAGATGAGTCTTGGCAGCCTCCTTCATCTCAGAGAGTGAAAGTGGAGACAGCAACGACCGTGACAGATGAGAAACCAGGTGGTGCAGTGGAAACTCGTGGTATGAAGGTTCGGAAGGAGAGGGCTTTCCAACCACTAGTGGTGATGGAGACTGATGGGGAGACGGTGTCAAAAGAGGAGATTTTGTTGGCACAACAACAGGACCCTACTCTGGCTAAGTTGTGGAAGCATGTTGACAACCAAGACCCACCCCGTGTGTCTGGTAAGGCTAATGTTTCGAAATATGTCAAGCATAGAGGTCTGTTGTACAGAGAGTTTCAGTCCCCTAAAGTCGACAGAGGTAGAATCATAAAGCAGCTGGTAGTTCCTCAGAAGTATCGGGGTAAGGTGTTGAAGCTTGCTCATGACTCCCCTCTAGCTGGTCATCTAGGTATCAAGAAGAAGACTGATAAATTGTGTTTGAGTTTTTACTGGCCAGGAGTTTCTGGTGATGTGCAGAGGTACTGCAGGTCATGCGACATCTGCCAGCGGACAGTGTCAAAAGGACGAGTTGGAAAGGTGTCACTGGGAGAAATGCCACTGATTGATACCCCCTTCAAGCGTATAGCCGTTGATCTGGTGGGACCCATACATCCAATAACCGACCGAGGTAACAGGTATATTTTGGTGGTGGTGGATTATGCAACGCGGTACCCCGAGGCTGTAGCTCTTCCTCGAATAGAGTCTGAGAGAGTGGCGGAAGCCTTGCTGGAGGTATATTCAAGGTTGGGGATTCCACAAGAGGTACTGACAGATATGGGAACCCAGTTTACATCTGAGGTCATGAGGGAAGTGGGAAGACTACTGACGATCAAGCAGCTCACTACGACCCCCTATCATCCCATTTGCAATGGCTTAGTTGAGCGATTTAACGCTACCTTGAAGAAAATGCTGCGACGGATGTGTGCAGAAAGGCCAAAGGATTGGGACAGGTTTCTTCCGGCTTTGTTGTTTGCGTACCGAGAGGCTCCACAAGAAAGCTTAGGATTTTCTCCCTTTGAGCTGATGTACGGCAGGTCGGTGAAGGGACCTCTCTCCATCCTACAGGATATCTGGTCAGAGGACACGGTAGATGAAGACATCAAAACTACCTACCAGTATGTTGTTGATATGCGTGAGAGATTGCAGTCTACCTGTGAGCTGGCAAGAGATGAATTGGCGAAGGCGTCAAAACGGTACCGGAGGTACTACAATGCCAAGGCCCGTGATAGGCGATTTAGAGCAGGAGACAGGGTTCTTATTTTGAGACCAACTGATCACAACAAGCTGTTAATGCAGTGGACAGGTCCATACCCGGTAGTGAGACAAGTTGCGAAGCATGACTACGTGATTCAGGTAAGAGACAAAGAACGGACCTACCATGCCAACCTCTTAAAGCTGTACGTGGAACGAGGTCGGTCTGATGAAGTCACCCAGGTTGAGGTGTTGGCTATGGCAGGAGTTGGGTTTGTTGTGGAGGATCCAGATGAGGAAGATGGGTTGGATGAAGTTGTTCTCCCGCCGGTAGAGGCAAAGGAAGACATGAGTGATGTTCATCTTGGGGAAAACTTGGACGATGCTCAAAGAGCCGATGTTGATGAAATTCTGCAGCGGTACACACCGGTTCTCACTGATTTGCCAGGTAAGACTCACATTATTGAACATACAGTTCATCTTACCACAGATGTTCCCATAAGGTCAAAACCCTACCCCACACCCCAAGCTACGCGTGAAGTCATCAAGAAAGAGATCGACTCAATGCTGAAATTAGGAGTCATTGAACATTCGGAGTCACCTTACGCTTCTCCTATAGTTTTGGTAAGAAAACCCGATGGCTCTAATCGTTTTTGCATTGATTACAGGAAGATAAACAACATCACTGTTTTCGATCCAGAGCCCATCCCGAATGCTGATGATCTGATGGCAAGGCTTGGGACAGGAAAGTTCTTTTCCAAATTAGATTTATCTAAAGGGTATTGGCAGGTGCCGATTGCAGACGAGGACAAGAAGAAGACAGCATTTGTGACAGCTGAAGGGTTGTACCAGTTTAGAGTGTTGCCATTTGGCATGGTGAACGCTCCAGCGCTCTTCTCTAGGATGATGAGAAAGCTGTTACAAGGACAAGAACATGTCATTAATTATATTGATGATGTTTTGATTTATACAGATACATGGGTTAGACATCTACAGGTACTGAAGGAAGTTCTGCAAAGATTGCAAACAGCAGGGTTGACGGCACGACCTTCAAAGTGTTACATTGGTTGCAAATCTCTTGAATTTCTAGGTCACATCGTTGGAAATGGAGTGCTGAGACCACGACCAGGCAAGGTGGAACAGATAGTTCATGCTGCGAGACCGGTGAGTAAGAAAGAAGTAAGATCATTCATAGGACTGCTGAGTTACTACCGGAAATTTGTGCCTAATTTTGCCGCCATTGCTGCCCCGTTGACTGACCTGACCAGAAAAGGTGCACCAAATAGTGTGCAATGGGGAGCATCGCAAGAGCAATCATTCAGAACTCTGAAATCCCGTCTAGAATCAGAGCCTATTCTGAGTCTTCCAGATCCTGATAAGCCCTATATTCTTGCGGCAGACGCCTCTGAGGTAGGAATAGGCGCAGTTCTGATGCAAGAGCGCGATGGTACAAAGCACCCAGTAAGCTATGCGAGTAGGAAGCTGCTGCCGCGTGAACGCGCGTACTCGACAATTGAACGAGAATGTCTCGCGCTAGTTTGGGCGATCTCCAAATTTCACATATATTTGTATGGCAGAGAGTTCGTATTGGAGACAGACCATCACCCATTGTCATACTTAACCAAAGCCAAGGTTAACAACAATCGAGTGATGAGGTGGGCCCTCAGCCTGCAACCATATAGGTTCATCATTAGAGCGATTAAAGGTTCACAAAATGTAGGACCAGACTTCCTCAGTAGATGTACGATGTAAATACATGTAGACACTAGTATGTGACAAGTTCTGTAAATTACTGATTTCCAGAGATGATGATAAATGGTGTGTATCATCTTAAGTGATGTAGATGTACGATGTAAATACATGTAGACACTAGTATGTGACAAGTTCTGTAAATTACTGATTTCCAGAGATGATGATAAATGGTGTGTATCATCTTAAGTGAGGGGCTGATGTCACAAAGTGTGATTCATATTTTTAAATAATGTTTCAATTTTTGTATTTATCATTGTGTTTATTAATGTAATTAATTATGGGATTTTCACTTATACATTTATTTTAGCACAAGTTAATTTAATTCTCCCCCATCCAGAATTGAGGCTACCCAGAGTGTACAGCAGAGCTAAATCTTTCTTATGCAAATGACAGTATGCAAATTAATGCCATGGTTGAGTAATTTTGTTAGGACTTGGATGCCATGTGCATTCCCCAGGGCACTGCTATTCTAGACTTCACTGTGTGCAGTCCTGTGTGCAGTCCTGTGTGAGTACATGTACATGTACATGTATATACAGTGGTACTGTGTGTACCAGGGCGTGGCCCATGATTTAAAAAGCCAGTTTATCCTGCAAACTGTAAGTTTTATTTCATCCTGCTTTATACAATATAATTCAGTAATAGAAGTGCATAGTACAGAAATTATGAATATTTTGGGAGAATAGTGATAGTCCAGAAATGGTGCATTTTGAAGTTAATCTTTAGAGATTGATGTATAGAATTGCCTTTGGTAATCAAGTTTATTTTCATTAAAATTAATATAGTTGATGAAGTAAGATAAATTGTAAGAATTTTTGAAGATTTTGAATGCCATTTTCATTCCAGAAATTTAGCTTGAGCATGGAGCGAATGTAAATTTGATCATAAGTCGGTAGGCACTCTAATTTTCACTGTGAATTATGTTTAACCTTTTTTTTTAAAGGGCTTTTCCCTGTGGGAATAGAGAATTCCTAGGTTCTTGGTGAACCAGATAGCTTGTTCTGTGTGAACAACAGTTAGCCAACTCCCAAGACTAGCTCACGGTCTACCGAGAGAGTCAGGAGGAATATTCGGAACCGAGTCCTGTGTGGACCGTCAGGCATCGAGCCAGATTCCAAGGCCCGGAGTGGTCACCCAAGTTCCCCAAGCCCGGAGTTCATCCGCCTTAGTGGGATCGTCAAAGCGCCGGAGGGATGTTGTGTGTGTGACTGGTGCTCCAAATCGACCACCCGTGTCACAAGTGTGAGCTTTGAACACAGCAAGTCCTTCAAAAGGTTTTGAACAGTGACTGTTTAGGGGGGGTAATTGCATTTGTTTTGGGGTATTGGAAACGGCCGTGTAACACATAATACAGGATCCTTATAATGCCATGATATAATTGAGTATCCGTCACTCAAAGTATAAGTAATTCATATAGTGGCATAATTCAATTGAAATAATTTGTACATAGTAAATTTCCGTTTGTTTAATATATTTATTTGTCGTAATTAAATAGTATTTTGTCTTGATCATACACATTTTGCCGTCCGGAGTTTGATTTTCTGTCCTGCTAATTTGTCAAATATATCCACTACTGTCCTCCATGGGAAAAACAGACCCATGGTGTGACACAATCAAATGACTAAATCTCAGCCCCGGAACTCCTTTTATAGACTTTGAGCCCCATAGGCTGTGTGCAACTTCTCTCTGCCATACAACAGTGCATAAACCCAATTGACCAATCAGATACCAGGATTACCATTGTCATAATAACAGTGCATAAACTCAACTGACCAACCAGAAACAAGGATTCCAAATATGCAAAGTTGTGATTGACTTTATAAGTCCTATTCCGTCACATATCCCCCTCCCAAAGTTTTCAGTCCCTGAAAACTAGGCATAAGAAATTTGGTAACAACTCTAGCTAAAATAACTTAGACGAAAATCTTTTACATGAAAAATCAGTCAGGTAAATCTTTAATGCAAATTCCAATACAGGGTGAGTAAAAAAACGAATCCAAATGTCGGGACTATTGGTTTTTTTTTTTATTGAAGTCTTACATGTAGCACGTTCAAAATCTAGAACATGAAAGCCCAATTCAAAAGCTTTCTTTTAGTTTAAGAATAATTCCAATCACTAATGTACTTTTCAAGTTACGGAATTTTAAACACAACCACCATTTTAAAGTTCTGTCCACGGATCACAAAAAACGTGTGCGTTCTTTCAGGTAAAAACGAAAACCATTCACACATCCCTATGTGATTTGTTTTCGTTTTGCTGAAAGAACACTGAACTTTTTTGTCGCTGGAGTCGCTGTGGAATGTCGGAAGAATTACTAAAGAAATGAAATTATCGTCGGAATAACTGTTGGAGTGTCTCATTTGAACTCGATCGGAATGTCGGTGGAGGGTTGCCAAAGTCTTAGTGGAATGTGGCTGGAACCTTGCTGACTTTTCGCCAGAAGAATGTTGTCGAACCTGCCATTGGAGTTGCACTGGAACGTTGTTGGAGCACCTCACTTTCCACACACGTGCCCCCTGCTGTTCTCTCTAACCTTGCTTGGCGCCTTTGCCACGTGCTTCTTGAATGCTCCACGACCATTCCTTCCTTGGGACTTTCATTGGCCGCAGGTCTCACACCTTGTTGATGTTGTGCGTACATCCTTCGTCATGCCCGACCAGTAGTAGCGTTGGCGCACTATCTGCAGTGATTTGTAGACGCCGGGTGACGTGACACTTTGCTGTCGTGTAGTTCTTTGAGAACTTTCTCTTGAAATGTGGGCGGTAACACCATCTGCCATCTGCCACGTTTTCCATCCCCGACTTCAATTGATGTGACAACACACCATTCCAGATCCGTAGCTGTTGCCTCGGAGCCCAGTATGTCTTCATACCTGCTGATTCCGACGACATGGGTTCCAATACCAGCTCCTCACCATTCTCCATGGCTCGCCTCGTCGGCTCAGTTGAAGAATCCGCAGGCTGTGCGTCCCTCAATTCCTAATCAAGCGTCGACCTTTGATTTCTAGTCAGAGTCCATACATCTCTTTCATGTTCACCATTGGACTTCTGGGGAATATTATCTGTCAACGCTGTGTCGGCTACTTGGCTCCGCTCTGGTAGTGACGGTCTCCTCACGACCAGCTGTCTGAATCCCATGGCGTTTCCAGTAGCCCTTCCTCGGCTCTTCGGAGTTGGACAATTTCTTTTGAAATATCCCCAGCCCTCGCAGTTGTGACATATTTCGCTGTCCCAGGGTTGTCTTCCTCCTCCATCTCTCTGATTCCCAGCATCATTTACTCCTCTTTCGTTTCTCATCGGAGCTGCAGTCATACTGTGCATTGCCTCTGCTAGGCCAGCTATCATCGCCTCCAATGCACTGAATTGTTCCAACATGCCCTGTGTATGGCAGTTGAATTTCTCTCGAGAGACCGCCTCGACGTACCGGTGGGCCCTTGCATTCCTGTTCCTGTCCCTTGCTCCTTGTCCCCACTGCCTCTGTTTCTCAGAGTTAATGAACGATTCTGTCTCAAGGGGGCCGCCCGTATCGCTTCATCTAAGGACTCGGGGTGAGCCCTGAAGATTTCCGCACGCACTTATGCATCTGGGATGGCATCCATGAAGTGCCCCGGGCGAGTCTTTCCCGCGAATCTCTGGGGAGCTGTGGGTATGCCAACTTCGTCAGCCTTCGGATGCTGTGTCTGAGTGCTTGTAGACCTTCACTGACCCCCCTTGTCCCTTGTCCCCGGGACCAAATCGTCTTTCCAACCTTGTAGTAAGGTCGTTGTAGCTCAATGGTGCGCCCTGGACCCCGTCTACAAGTACTTGCTGGGCCTGCCCCTTCAGGCTTGCTGCCAAGAAGAATGCTTTCTTTGCAGAGGTCCACGCGTTGATTGTGGCACAAGACTGTTCCGCCGTGGGCCCCTCTGGTTTCTTGCTTCCAATCGTCACTCCCGCCAACCCTTGCTCTAGTCCCTCCACCTTCATCGGTGAGGAAACCTTTGGTAGCTGTGATTGACTCGACTCTATCTTGGTAGCAAAAACTGAACCCAACGTGCCTGACCGTTCACTTAAAACCGGCCTGTACTCGCTTCCAACTCCCACTCTGGACGCCTTAAACGGTCTCCCTTGAGCAGAAGCCGTGCTTATGCTTGCTCCGCTTGCAGACTGCCTTGCTGCTGCATACCCTGGGGATGTCCGCATTCCTGCCGTCATGGTGCTGAAAACCAGTGGCACGTACGGGCCGTACGCCGGTGGTGCTTGCCATGCTCCACTGATGGTAGTGACTCCTGGTGGTGCAGAAGCTCCAACATTCACATCTCTTGTGGAATGTTCTCTTGCTCATGCTCCCCCGAGTACCAGTCTTCGATCTTCCCAATCGTTACTGGTAGTCTGGGTGTTTGCTCTACTTTGGCTCCTGGCATCTGTAAGTTGCCTACTGGAGTACAGGCGCTCAGTGGATTCAAGATTGGCTTTCTCTGGCTGGTTCCCCCTGCTCGCCCATTCATCAACGATGTGGTGTTCTCTGTTGAGACCCCTCAAGATGTGCTGTGTTGCTCGTCATTAGTTTCCTCGTCCACTCCTGTCCATCAGTTGTCCATCCCGTCGATCTCCCTGGAAACACCTCTGGGTTCCCTGTGGATGTCATTGGAGAGAACTGGAGCTGTGATGCTACCTTGACCGGTTGTAGGATGCTGGTTGCTCCGCTTGTCGCCGCACCTCCCACAGCCGCTTGAAATGAGTCACTGCCTCTATACCAGAATTCCACTCCCGAGTCGACCTCTTCCACTCTGTGTCTCCCGGGTGTAAGCACTGCTTGCTCTCTCTGCTCCATTCCGTTGTCTTCTTCCTTAAGCTGCTTCCACTGAAGTTTCTCTACTGGTGGATTCCACTGCTGCCACCAATGTGACGTGTCGTGCCAGCTTTCCTGCGTCAGGCTGATTTGTTTGGTAGCGTGCCGTCCCGATGGTGTCCTATCCCTGCAGTGGTGGGCCACAGCACCAGGCTATCCCCTCTTTTCGATTGACAGGATCAGTAGACTGGTGGAAGTCAGGCCAATGGAGCAGGGGAATTGGAGTGGACATTGGGAATCGGAATGTGGAGTCGGAATGTTGGTGGAGTCGGAGTGTCGGTGTTACACAGTCAATTTTGGTGACTCCATCGGACAAATAGAATTTAGGAAATATGCCATACACTCCCATGAAATGAATGAAAACCAACTAGACACTTCTCAATATTCTATATACAATATACAAGCAAATTTATTTACACAAAATCCCCAAATTTCACAAAATTATAATTTCACAAGTCCAAAACAATTTCTATGACTTGACTTATTCAAATCA